GGAGTGAGAGCAATAATTCTAGGGCCAGTATTTTGGGGTATCTCTAAATTGATGACCTGTGGGGGCTTTTAAAGCGTCTTCTATGGACTTTTTGGGGTACTGGGGTTTTTCGCCGTTTTACGGATGCACGCAATTTGTAACCTGGGCATGTTGGGTATCGTTTTACTCGTTGTAACCTCATCTTTTATATTTCATTTAAAAAATTGGTATTTTGTTGTGTTTTGGGGCATTTAATTAAATTTTTCACTAAATATTGGGGTTTAATAAGGAGTTGCGCTAATATTATGCAACATAAACATTTGCAACTACCACCATTTTATTCTATAGGGTCTTGGCATTCAGAAAATATATAATGTTGGGGGGTTTTAAGTAATTTTCAGGCCTAAAATGTGGAATATAACATGGGTACAAAAAATGAAAAAAAGGCCTCAGTCATGAAGGGGTTAAGAAAACATGAACTGTTGGATTGACCTAATGACAGCTTTGGACCTCACTTTCTACCTAATGTATTTACTGAGCCTTTTTGTTTTCCTTTTTAACTATTTTTAAGAAACCCAGAGTTTTTTTTAGATATTTTAAGAACATGATTTTCTTTTTGATCTGCAACTAGGAAACCGTGGAATGAAGGTGGAGAGGTGGAATGGCAGTTTTACATTGAGTAACGCTTTGAATTTCAATGAAAGTTCCCCCGGCTATGCTGGCACCACCTGGTTTGATGGAGCTTTCAAGTCCTGGACAACAGACACCTCTTCATTTATTGTTAGGTTCAGCGGCTTCCTTGTGCCCCCAGAGACAGATTACTACACCCTGTATATCAAGGGAAATGATAAATATGCGCTGTACTTCAGTGAAACAGGAAACCCAGCAGACAAGGTAATGGGAACAAAGAACTTGCTTAGCTCTAATGTTGGTCACCTGTGATAAAACACCCGGAAAGTGTCCGTCTTTTTCCGAGATTGTTAAACTGTGAGTTTAATCCATGATTTTAAAAACTCTGCTGATCACACCTTCAATGTTGAATTATCTGGCATTTTTTAGGAAGAACATTAAAGCATAACTAAACCCAAAAACAAAAATGAAATATATTTCAGCTTACCAGTCCTTAGATGTGGTGGCTGTTTTCTTTTCTTCAGGCTAAGTATAGAAAATACCTGTTGATCTTGCCAGAAACACCTTGTCCTTGTCACTTCCTGTGAGTGGAACTGAAAGAGAAAAACAATGTAAACTTACTAATCTCCCCATCCACCATGTAACGGAAATGAACATTGGAAGGCATGTTTGATGTCCAGGCTGAGTGACAACCATGGCTCCCTCCATAGACACAGTGAAGGAGTACATATAGCCACTCAGGGGCAGGAAATGTGTTATTCGCAGGATTACTATGTGCAAAGTGCAAGGAATAAAGCCTGAGCAAAAAATCATGAATGCAGCTACCATTTCTAAGGACTAGTAAACTGCAATATACAATAGTCATTTTTTGTTTTTGGGTTAAGATATGCTTTTATTATCATCCAAGGCACTTTTCTCATATGGGGCCGATTTAGAAAATTTTTTGCACTGTTTATCAGTGGCTTTCAAAACATGTGAGAAAGATAAGATAATATGTTAGGAAATAATAATACAAATTATCACTGATTATTGCTTAAAAATACTTAACATAATAGATAAAGTATAACTAAAGCCCCATTTGCTATGGTCTTTTTTGAATGCAGTGGAAAAGTTTTGAATGCTCTGTTTTATTGCCCCCTGGGTACTTTCCCACTCTCTATTTGTCTTCATGGCCATTGTCACCGGAGCAGAAAGTGACAGGAAACCCAAATGTTATGGCTGTCACTAGAACAAGGGGAGGGGAAATCTTGCATTGGGGCAGCTGTGTAAGAGGGGGACTTGCCCCACTTCCCTAGGTGACTGTGGGTAGGTTAAACCCACAAATGTAACATTCTCCACTCTATAAATATGGCAGGTGTTAGCAGAAACCTACATTTTCCACAAGAGCACATACACATCCAGAATGTGACAGTTAATAATGACAATGATTGGTTTGTTTGCACCCTACCAGTGGCTCATACAGCAGGTAACACCTAAAGGCAAAGTCAACCTTTTAGAAAAAAACATAATAATAATAAAAATAATAAATAAATGCATAATTCTTTATAAATGTACATGTATTATTTTTTTTGCATTGGAGCCAGTAAAGCATCGCCATCACAATCAGTGGATCACGTGTCCAATGCTCTGACTCCTGCATATTCTCCCTCCCGTCCATGTCAATACCAAGGTTATTATTTTATAATAATTCTAACAAACTACTTTATATCCTCTTTCAGGTGAAAGTGGCCTACGGTGACTATGCAACCTCTTCCTACAGCCAATATTACACTCAGAAATCACATGCTTTCTACCTCCAGAAGGGAAAATCGTAAGTGTGTTGGACCATTAGATTGAGCATGCCAACAATTTGGTGCATTGTAAATGAAGAACTTCAGGGGAAAATATTATTAACTCTTGCAGTGGGGCTACCCCCGCACTGCAGGGGTTAAGTGCTCATTTGTGTCTTAGGAAAATAATAATTATCCCTGGAGTTCTGATATAAGGTTAGGTTAACAAATCATTACATGTTTGTTTGTTTTTTTCTTTTATTGCAAGGTATATGGATACTTGAGTTAGTCCTGATATTATCTCTGGACATCCCCTGTACAGCAGGATTTATAGAACCCCTGTCAGATTTTTATTTCTGACTACAAGGATAAGTGCACTTACCCTTTCTGCTGCCACTGTGGCCCGCCACAATGTTTATATCCTGCTGGTGGAATCTTATCTGCACTGGCCATACCTGCACAGTCAAACCCCCTAAACTTCTACAGGGCCATTTTCCCTGGCTGGAGTTTCACTTGCCCTTTAAGCATTAGGTTAAGGCTCTGTTCACACCTAGGCGTATCGAATATGCACGTTTGTCGCGCGTTTTGTGACGCGCGTTTTGACCACGATTCGCGGTAAAAGAAACGCGCGACAAACACGAGTTTCTGAGGGCTACTTGGCTGTATCCCAATGGAAACGCGCGACAAAAACGCCGCAAAGAAGCTCATGTACCTTTTCAGGCGTAGGCCGTTTTGTAGCGCGTTCAGACGTGCTGAAATACGGCAAGGTGTGAACCATACCCATAGAAAACAATGGGATTTTCATGTTTGAGCATTTTGTAGAGCGTTCGTAGAGCGTTGAATGCGCTACAAAACGTAAGGTGTGAACCAGGCCTTAGTAGAGGTTATTCTGAGGTTAAGGTTTATAAATTACTATTTGTTTTTTTAAGATGTGATTTTTTTAAAATATAAATTAAATGTTGAGGCATGATAAGTGTAAACTGAAAAAAAAAAGTAGCTTGTGTCCAGGGGCAATCATCTGCCTCTAAGCGCAATTACAGCTGAACATGTGCAGACAGCTGCGGCAACTGTCAGCCTGTCATCACTTTGTACTGGCCAAGCAGCCACAGTTGTCTGGAACCATCTGTGATTCCAGCCACCACAGGAATCCACAGCTTGACCTCAGAGCATCATCACCAGAACACAAGACAAATGGAGTGGCAGAAACTTAAATGTTACACCTTTACATTGATTGATTAATTGGGTTGATTTAATAAAGGCAAATAGACTGTTTAGTTTGCAAGGAAATTTTCACTTTGCGGGGTAAGTTTTCTTTAGCTTGGTGAATGTGGTGAATTGTCACATTGCAAAGAATACCCAATCACGTGCAAAATAAAAATATGTATATGTTTGCTTGCACTAGATTGGGTAATGGAAGGCAGCAGAGCCCCTGCAAAGTGCAAATTCCCTTGCAATGTGAACAGCCTATTTACCTTTAGTAAATCAACCCTAAACTATCTAACTTTGTGCTATGCATGTTTTTTTTCTAGATATTACATTGAAGCCTATATCCAAAATTACAATGGGAAGTCAGCCATTGATGTGGGCCTGTACCAGCGCAGGAGCTCATTCACCGACCAACAAACTGCGGATGCAGTCAATGATATCCAGAACTTACAATCTCAAACTGATACAGTTCTAGAGAAGCAGGTGGTTATTTTGAAATGTAATGTAGTGTATCTAAACCCCCCAAAAAATTAATGTATACGTTTACCAGTCCATAGATGTGGTGGCTCCATTCGTTTTCTTGCTAGGCATTCTTTTACTTTATTTTCATCAGGTGCTCCTGACAGTAACACAGTTTCTATCTTAAAGTGACATTAAAGTAAAAAAAATGTTTCCCCCTCCCCCATGGTAATGTTAGCACTTACCTTAAATTATGTCTCTTAATCCGATCTTCTTCTTCTTTCCTGATGTTTTCATCTGTCCCTCCAGCGGTGCGGTGGCTCTCCGATCCAGCGCTGACTCCTCTCTGCTTGCAGGCACTTCTGATCCAGTGGTGTCTGCATGCGGTGCACGTGTCCATAGACTTACCTTGTGTCTCTGCTCGTCTCCTGGCCGAGAATCCGAACTGCGCATGCGCCTGCCCCAAGATCCTTTGCGGTTGCACGAGCAGTTCCGGATTCTCGGCACGGGAGCGCATAACAATAACGAGGTAAGTTTAACCTCCCTGGTGGTATTCCCGAGTCTGGCTCGGGGTTAATTTTCAATACCAGGAGCGGTAACCCCGAGCCAGACTCGGGAATGCACAGAAAAGTGTCACTTACCTTGTCCCTGCGAGCCCGCGGCGTCCTATGCTTTACGCGGCCGGCCGATGCCGGCATTTGACTTTTAGTTTAGTTTTCGGGCGTCACAGCCGGTGGGAAATTCAAAAGTGAAGTTGCAATGCACACAATGTAATCTGCTATGATTACACTTATTTATCAAACTATTATCTACTGGACTCTTGTTTGGACAGATTTAGGTGAGTTATTCCTAAGATTTACTAAGAATTACAGGTCTACAATATAAAACAACAAATTTCCATGAAAAACAATGTACCTCTTTAGGATGCTAAAATCCTGAATAATTATACCGCCAGGGAGGTTAAACTGCTGTTAAAGCGTTTAAAAAAAATTATTTTGCTTATATCTACTGCTTGCCAGCAGTAGATATAGGCACAAAAACCGTAAGCTTTAGAACCCCTTTAAGATGACAATTCTCGCTCACTGTACTGTATCTATGGAGGAGCAGCCTGGTCACCCAAGAGCAGGAAATGTTATAGGACTAGACAACACATACCTCTCTCCTCATCTCCATACCGTAGGAGAGAAGTGTTCTGTTGCTCATAGGCATTAACTAGGCAGGATTTATACTACAATTTGAGATATAAGTGCAACATTGTCAGCTCACTACAGGAAGCTATAAGCATACTGGATTTTTGAGAAATTGACAGGTATTCTTATGCAGTTGCATTGTTTTTAAAGAGACAAAACATAGAAAAATGTGCATGTACTAGAATGATGTGCTTCATATTTATTTATTTTCCTCATACATACACTTTCATGGTTAGGGTAGTCATGATACATTGGTGATAGCTGGTGGGCCATACGTGCTTTGTCTGAGATTCACATTTGTTTTTTGGTATTAAATCCCTGCATCCAAATGTTCTGTGCTGGATTCAGCATTGACAACTAATGCATTGCTGTTTTGGACTCTACTATTAATAGTAAAGAAAAGTTAAAAAAACAAAAGTATTTTGAACTACATTAAACAGCTTCAACTACAATAGAACAATGACCCAGGTAAGGGTCAAGATGTGATTTTCAATAAGTTATGGGCTAATCATATTCAAATGTTGGCATCTCTGTGATCACATTGAACCAACAACTAAGATGTTGACCAAGAATGGACATTCGTAATGGGTGGGATGGGGTGGTGCTTACCCTTAGGAAAACATCAGCTAGCAGTACACTGGGATTTAAAATGACATGTGCATCCACTTGTCGGCTCACCTCCAGGGCAACAGTCAGCAGTATAGAAAGTTATGGTAATGCACGTTTTGTCTTTCACAATGGACAGGCCATTGGCCAGACACAGAGCACTTTCCCAGTCCAGGCCTTTTTAATTAGATGGACCATGTGCAGGCTACAGGGACTATGTGGATGCGGGTGTGAGGTCACATGCCATCACTCCAGAGAGCTGACGTAGCGCGTTTTTTAAAATAATGTCTTCTGCTCTTTTAACCATGACCAAGCACTGTTTTAAGGTACTGGGTCACATTGACTGTCAGTGTATAATACATTTTTATTTATTTATTTATAATGTATGCTGCCTTTAGCTTTAAAGCATATGTCAAGGCAAATCCCCCCCCCAAAAAAAAAACTATTCTGTATATCTCTGGAATACATGCATATTTCCCCATGGTTTAACCCTTTAAAGACCCTGCAAGTACAGAAAAATCCCCACTGATCTGCCAGAAATACACTCAGCTCATAAGCTCTTTTGTAGGCTTACAATACACAGTATTTTTGAGAACTGAGTGGTATCAGTATCTTTTGCTATACTACTAAACTATTTAACCACCCCCCTTCCTCACAGATGTCTACAACATGTAGGCTAATTATTCTTTAGTCCATTATAGGAACTGGGTAGACTAAATAGACTCTTTGATGTAACACATACACAGAGCACAGGACACAGGGCAGCTCCAATGAATGGTTTATTTAATGGGCCAAAGGGGACCAAATAAAATAATGTAATCGTTAGGGTTAAAGAATACCCTGCAGGTACCCATGTGATTAGGTTACCCCTATATGAGTGATTTTAAGATAGCAGTAGGATTCTACCTACATTGTAAGCACAAACTACACAAGACTCTACTGTCTTACCACAGTCCAATACTGATTGGAAACATCATAGTAACCTTTTTGTTTTTTTTCATTTTTTCCCCTCAGATTATTACATTACAAAATTGGAATTCAACTCAACAAGCAGTAGATGAAGTTCAGACAATTACAGTGACCATAGACTGTGTTTTTTCATGTCCATCCATGTTTTACAAACTCATGTATGGGGCAGATGAAACAGGTAAAACATGTTATGATTTATAATAACAGTATAAAACTTCAAATCTTGGACTTCATGATCTGCCTAAGACTGGACAACTTTAAAGCTGAACTCTGGGCACAAAGACTTTCTTATACATATAGGGGGGATTTATCAAAACTGGACTAGATTTGCAGGGCAGCCAATCAGCTTCTGTCTCATCTTCAAATCTTACCTGAGAAAACTGAAGAGAGATGCTGATTGGTTGCCATGGGCAACGGCTCCAGATTCTGTCTGCTCCAGTTTTAACCAATTCCACCCATAGTATATTCCTCAAGAGCCACAAAGCTTGTAAATCCACTTTGTGTGCACAAAATGCCTTCATAAAGCCACAGCTTTCCTTGTTAAAGTAGTGGTGGCATCATCATCGTGTTGCACATGTGCCTGTACAGAGAGCAGAGCTGTGGGAGGAGCACAGAAAGCCCCAACCACTACAGGGTGCCCACGGAAAACTACAGAAGGGGGTGGAGACAAGACCAGTCACCCTGCAAGGAGAGAGAGCAGAGGTGACCAGTCTTTATTTTAGGTTGCTCCTGCAAAGCTTCACACAGGAAGAAATATACAAAGCACACAAAGATTCAAGTTAGGATATGCACACCTCTTGTATTTAGACAATATTTGCTTAACCTGGAGTTCAGCTTTAACCAGACTTCCAGCTGGCAGGAGATTTCCAGTTTGGCCTGGGGCAAGTGAGCTTAGAATGAATGTTTGTAACCATTTGACCATAGGTGGGGCTCTTTCCTCCAAAAGGTAATAGTTAGAGCTAAAATATGCCAGTGAGCTAAATGTGAAGTACAAGAAACTGAAAATTGTTCTTTTACTGTTTTACTATATTTATGTAATATTATATCATTTCTTTTTTTAGATCTGTTGTCAGCTGATGCAAGTGCTACAGACATTGAATCAGCATTAAATAACCTGCAGTCCATACAGCCAGATACAGTCAGTGTGACTATGCAAACCAATGATACCCAGAATGTATATACTGTGACCTTCAATTCACAAAGAGGTGCGATAATACTGGACACATCATGAGATTAGGCCTTCATATTGTTATAGCTGAAATAAGCACTTTGTGTTTTTCGCCTTGAGCAGAGATCTGATATTATAGAACTTGTTCACTAATGAGCTTACTTGTCATCTGTCTGTATTTTGGCGGAATGATCCTAACTCTCTGTCCATTCTATGTGTGGGGATCTGGCAACTTTGTTTTTATTATTGTTTTCATAAGGAGCTCCCCTTCACATCAGAAGTTATCCATGACATCAGGGGTTACCCTTTCAATCAGAGTCCTCAGTGCCACCCCCCCCCCCCTTTCAATCAGAGTCCTCAGTGTCCCCCCCCCCCCCCTTTTAGGTGCTTAACCCTTTCCAAACAGTCATAGGTACTTACTTTATTTCTGTAAGCAGTGAATCCTCCATGCCAGCCCAGCAGCAGCTGCTTCTACTAAGATCTCCAGGGACATTCTCCAGCACAGCTCCCTCCTGGCAGGCATCCTCATGCACAGTTCCTTCTGGACAGACACTGCAAGAGGGCAACTGTAATTCAACAGTACATTGCAATCTGGCTCCCTCTAGGACAGAACCCAAAAGAGAAAATAACACTCTAGAAGGTTGCTCCAAACATTGATCACCTTCCCTCAGCTCACACCACTGAACAAACTCCTCAGTGATTGGTTGGAGAAGATAATTGGTTCTTCCCAATCTGACTACTGGAACCTCTTCAACTGTAGCAGACAGAAACAATCAATACTCTGAGTGTAGGAAAAACCTGCAGAGCATAAAAAAAGTAAAGAAAGCTAAGACTGGCTACAGCCTAGCCGCTAAAGCAAACACAGAAAAACTATAGACATTCCAGCTTAAGACAGGGGCCCAACACTAGTTATGGTCAAAGCATGGGCAGAACAGGGTCTCTTAGCTAGCTATTCTAACTGGATTTGATATTGAGTTTATTTATACTTACTGCTTCGGACTGAATCCACCAAACTTTTCAGCAATAGTTGCTGGTCTAGTATCCTTCTCAGCTTGAAGAGAATGTGCAATAGAGAGCAAGATATTGCATCATGGATGCTACTTGGGGATATGTCTTCCATATTTTATTAATATTTTAGAAGTCCTTGCTATATGTACAAGTGCATTAGCTAAAATAACACAATTGGACACTTTCACTAAAATTACTAAAATTGACATTGGACCACTTAGAGATAACAATTAGTTAAATTTTTTTATTTGATACCTTATGCTTTTTGTATACATCCAGCAATGAGGAATGATTAAAGATTCCTTCACATAAACATGATCACTTGGTACAAAAAAGAAAACAATTGTTTTGGTAAATTGGATTTAATTTTCCACCAGAATCAATTATTACTTTTTAAAGAAACAATTGTTAGTTGATCAAACAGCCAATTTACTTAAAGTGGTTTCTGAAAGAGAATATTCTTTCTTCAAAATTATCTGTTTATCAAATGATTGTATGGTTAGGCAAAGCCGGGGCTACAGCTCCTGTTTTAGATATCAATTAATCAAATAATGAGCTATTTCATATTAACATCATGTTCAAATATAAATATAACATGGCGTTTCCAGTTTGTATGCTTTATTATTATGTAGTATATCTACATTAAGCTTACTTTGTTAAATGTTTTCTTTCTGCTGTTACAATCCACAGGAGATTTCAAGTTGCTTTCGTATAAAATTTTGGATGGGGGCAATATGACTGTGGATATTGAAGAGCAAACAAAAGGTGTTCCAGACATGGCAACCTTCACGCTCGTGTGGGACAATGTTTACTCTAAAGCCCTGGCTGCAAATGCATCAGCTGCAGACGTACGTAGAACATATATATATATATTGTTATAATAATTGTATAATATAGTAATAATGTATTGCTTCTGACCTGAAGAAGAGAGGTTTAATCCCTTTTATCCACTGCATCCCCATAGATCTCCAAGGTATTATTGTAAGTTAAAGCAGCCTACTGATTAGTATCCTCAGGGTGCCCAGCCAAGTCAAATTAATTATGACTCAATACTAATGTGACTGCCATAGCCAGATCCATCTGAGAAGACATTTTTAAAGTAAATTGTATTTGCTAGGAAACCTCTGTTGAAATGTATAGCTTGTCATTACTGACCTCAACAGTTAAAAAAATGCCGGCTGCCTGAAAGTCATACTGATTTATTGGCCTCATTACTTTCCCTGTGCTGATTGGTTCCCGAATTCTGATTTTATTTTTCCACCCTTGCTTTACCCATAACTTGTAGAGTTGTAGAACTAAATCACAATTTCTTACTCAATAACTGCTATTATTACTATTATTATTATCATCATCCAGCTTTTCTCTTCCTGTAGGTGCAATCAGCTGTATTAGACATGATTAGCGCCCAATGTCCGGATAAAATCGCCAATCGGAAGGAAGGCTTATCTGTCAAGTACTTCAGGAACTATGAAACAGATTTTACTTTGGTATGAAAATGTTTACGTTTATGTTTTGCCTTACTGAAAAATGATGCAATAGTCTACATTTACGTTAAAAAACACACAAAGCTCGCAGCTCAAAATGCTGCATGAGCTTCTTTGCCATGTTTGTTGAGCATGTGGCAGCCCATTGAAATTAATGGGTTGATAGTCGGCAAACGTGCACAAATGCAACATGCACAAATATGATGCAAAAGTGTTAATGAGGACTACATATAGCTTTAAGTTAATATTTGGTTATAGGTCCACTTTAAATCTAAAGTGATGTATTATAAGATATATGTCTTCTTTATAGTCTGGTTACTATAGGGGCTATGTGACATCAGAGAGTGAACCGTTCTGTGGACGATATTCCTTGAAGAATCCTCAAATATTGTATGATTCAACAGAAGTAAAATCAACAACCCAAATGCCATATGGTGCCATTTCTTTAACTTTGTATAACAAGGTATGACTACATGTTTGTGTCCGTTGTTATCTATGTATGCTATGTGCACAAAAAAGCTTTAAGTTTGCATCTTTTGTTTTTTTGTGTAATACATTATTATTTTTTATTTAAAGGAGCCAACATATTAGGTGGCATTGTATTTCAAAGGTTGCTGATGTGGTGGCTGCTTTAGTTTTATCTTTTCAGCCATATTTTTATCTATTGTTACCTGTTGGTCCTGCCAGTGACACACTCCCTGTCCAAGAGTGACAGTGCTTACTTATTATACTATATTAATGGGGCACATCATTATCACTATACTCAGTATACTGTATTAATGGAAGAGCAGCATTGCCACTATAGAATAGGACTACAGCTTGAGTTTAGATATACTTTAGGTCTCATGGGTTGGGAACACTATATATACTAGGTAAGGGAAATTATAGTGGGTTGCATTTGGTTACTGGATAGTAAATTATTAGGGTAGAGAGAATAGACAGTTTCTCAAAAGTGAGTTTCGAGGGGTTCTTTTTAGCTTAACTTAACTCAAAGCTTCTTATTTTTGTTTGGCTTGTGCAGGGAAGGGTTAGAAAACCTGACTGGTTTTCATTGTTTTGGTTATATAAAAAGTAGAGAGCAAAAAAACGGATGATTAAAGGCCTAGGTAAATTTATTGATCAGAAGTGGCCAATAAAACAAATCAATGCTTTTTGGGGGCTCTGAAGGATCCTCTTCATCTGGACTAGGAGAAAGGGAATCAGACTTGAGAGACTCTGTGATGAAGTCACTTGAACTTTGAATCCCTGGTCTAGAGCTCTCTTCTTCTTATATTTCATGCATCTCTCTTGAAGCTCCATCCCGTGACTTTTTGGTTTGAGAGCAGTTGCATCAAAGTTAATACACTTCAATACATAAAAGTGGAGTGTGAGGTGGAACTTATTTTGCATCCAGCACTTCTATTGCACAACAGCTCTCAGCCTTCTCTTTTTCCCTATTAGTGAGCTTTTCCTCTACTTCCTCTACCTACATGTTGCATGTGATGAGCAATCTTTCCAATGGGGACACCAACCAAAAGCAGAACACATTTTCTTAGTACAGTGAAGAAGGGTTAAACCTTTTGGAAACCTTTTTACTGCTTTATGTGCCTTCCTTTCCCAGTAACAAATATTTTTTGTTGCTCGTGTAACAACAAAAAGAAAAGGAACATTTCCCAAATGGGGGTCACATTTATAAATACTGTATAAACCGGGCAGAATTGTAAACTCTTTCCCACTCTATGCAAAACGAAAATAAAAATTGCCTGATGTTCGGCTTTAGGGTAAAGGTGGCCGGCGGTTTACAACGGTTCAATTTGCAATGATTCAACATAGCACCTTTTTCTGGGAGTGTTGTATATTAAAACCAAATATATAATGTATGTCAATGGGAAGTGAGGGAGTTAGGTTCCAGGTCTCTCAATGAAACAAGGAATGATTCTAAATAGAAACTGGTTGTAAACTGAAATGCAGTATATAATGCAAGCCAGTGGAAAGTGAGGAAGTTAGGTTCCAAGCCTCTCTCATTGACATAAATCGACATAAGTAACATAATACAGGTACATTTTATTTAAAGCTCCTTTTGTGTCAATTTTAAAAAAGGTCTGGAAGAAAGGTCTCGCTTCCCATTGACTTACATTATATATTGTGTTTAAGTTTACAGCGTTTTCTATTTACAACCATTCCCTCAGGACCCTAACCCTGGCGTAAATTGAGGGCTACCTGTAGATCTAGTTTTTTTTTTTGTTTTGGTAGGAGTAGGAGGTAAAACCCTTGTTTTTTCTGTCTTTTTCTCATTAAGGAGTTTTTCCTTCACTTCTTGTCCCCTTAAACACAACGGAAAGGGAAAGGAAATCTCTCAAAAATGAGCGAAGCGATACCCTTTTAGGCAGTTGTCACTACAAGTCTCCCAGCTCCCTGTATTCTTGTTTTGGTGACAACTGTCTAACAGAGGATTTCCCTCACTTTAGAGAGATTTCCTTTTACGTCTAGGTGTTTCTAAAGATAAGGAAGGGAAATCTCTCTATCTACATATTTTCAGTGCATTACCATGTGTTAACATATGTTGTGTTAAGGGAGCCCATTGATTTGAATGGGCTTCCTAATGTACTATTGCACAACAAAATAGGTGCAGGCTTTATTTTAAGCAACGTAGCCCACTACAATCCACAGTATCGTGATACCATGCACTGTGGTGCGCTACAACACATGTCCATCGGGGTGCCTTTCAGAATCCTGACAAATTGGCTGATGTTTGTTCTGTGGGTGGCTCTGTTGAGACCACCCAGATTGACAAACTTCAATCTGAGAATCAAATAAGCTGAGTGGAAAATTGTTGGCCAAACAGTACCAATCCAATAGCCAGCAGGCAGGGGACATTCCTCCAGCCACACTGTTTGGCATGTATGGTGAAAACTATTGATTTCTCTCAGTCAGTCATTAGAGGTAAAGATGAAGAACATTGTAACATACATCTTTTTCATCAAGTTAATCAGAGTCCAGTGAAGTTTCTGGCAGAGATGGGCAGCAGATGGTAGAGGTATAGATTTGTCTTGTAACAGCATTCATGGACAAGCTGTAGAGATTTGAGTCTTATTAAGGAAGATCAGGCAAGTAGAGTGTGCAGTAGTCAAGTGATGGTCAGATATAGTAATAGATGTAAGGGATAAAGAAGATGGCTGATACAAACTATTTTTTCTGTCTTATTTTCAGCTTTGCCTTAGCTACAAGGGGCAACACATTTATGGAATTTCTGTATATTTTCAATATGAAGACACCAATTCCCCTGGCACAATTACCACCATCAATGATCAAATCAGCTACAACATGCCTCAGCAGAACAGGTATTTTTTTTACTTATTAGCATGTGAAGCAGCGACTGTTGGGCTCCTTTTTAGGCAAACAACACCAAATGTACCAGCAAAATGGAGTGGGTAGTGCCAGGCTTTTTACACTATAACATAACATGGGTGATATTTTTCTGCATATTGGATATTTAACAAAACTAAAAGAGGGCAATACTGTATACTGGTACAATATATTTTGTAAAATGCAATTCCTGCTTTCGCCCTGCCTGGGTTAACACAGGATGGTTACCTATAAATACACACATACAACCTCTTTGAATGATTTGGCTATCTGCCTTTTGAAATGTAATGAAAGTTCCCTCTTTTTCAGCTGGACATACATATGTGTCGACTTGCTGGAGCTTATAAAACCAAGGTACTCTGGAAAAAACTTTAACCTTTTTACAATTGGCTTAGTGTCAAGCCAGGATTTTTTTGTTGATGTCTTGTACATTGGACAAATGGTGACAACAAGTGACGTCACAGGTAAAGCCCTTTTTTCTTTCCTTTGCAGGTTAGGTGCTTTCTTCAGTGTGAATTTCAGAGCAAACCTCTAACATTTGTTATTAAAAAAAGTAAGAAACAAGCCCACCATTTATGTACTGTATATACAGTAAACAACAAATTGCATTTGTTTCAACAACCCTGGGGTATTACACAGCACCTCTCAGGGTATTACAGAGCATTTCTTTTTTTTTGGGTGGTGTCCAGCAGGGTTATGTCACACACTGGGTCTTTCTTGCTGTCCTTGAAAATGAAGACATTTCCCTCCACCTTGACATGACCTTGGCAAACTGTAAGTTCAAATATGAAACTTATAGTTAATGAAGGCAGTGTCCTCTATACAATCCCAAAGTATGTAAGAAGGAATAGCATTGGCCTGGATTGTGCAAGTGACAAGTATCTCAACCTCTTTTCCAAACTTACAGTCCATCATGGCCCTGCGCAGGCAGGGGAAGATCTTGTTTTTGAGCCCAGGTTTTAGCAGGTGAGAGATGTTCCTGAATATAATTATGAACATTCCAGATTTCCACATATGAAAATGTATGGATGTATGCTACAATTATGAAATACTCTTGAAACAGGTGATATTTTAAGTCTTAAGGTGGCCATACACTTTACAACCATCGCAAGACCTTAGTCTTGCGATGGTTGTAAAGTACTTAAAAAACGTACGATCTTCCCATCTTGGACAGGCAGATCGTACTCTTGATCATCGCAAGCCCGCCACCTGAGGGGCGGGCTTACGATGACTGTAATGAGGGGCGGGCTTACGATGACTGCAAACGGGCAGTGTGCGCGTGCGCACACCGGCCCGTTCGGCAGTTGTCGAATCAGCAGGCCACTAAAGGTGCCCATACACTGCTCGATTCTCGTACGAGAATCTCGGGAAATCCCGCGATCGTACGAGAATCGAGCAGTGTGAACGAAGACGTGCGACCGTTTCTACTGTACGGTCGCACGTCTTTTGTCGAACCAACATGCTCGAAACCCCGCCGAGAATCGTACGATTGTCGGCGGGTTTCTAGCCTGCTCGTCCAATAGCTGCGGAACGGGCCGATGTGCGCACGTGCACACTGGCCGTTCTGCATTGCGGTCATCGGAAGCCAGCCCCTCAGCGGGGCGGGCTTTCGATGATCGCAAGTACGATCTGCCCGTCCAAGGCGGGCAGATCGTACGAGCTTTCAATAAGCATACTAACATCGCAAGACAAAAGTCTTGCGATGGTCGTAAGGTGTATGGGCACCTTAACTCGCCGAGAATCGTACGATTCCCGGCGGGTTTTCTAGCATGCTGGTTCGACGGAAGACGTGCGACCGTACAGTAGAAACGGTCACACGCCTTCCATACACTGCACGATTCTCGTACGATCGCCGGATTTCCCGTGATTCTCGTACGAGAATCGTGCAGTGTATGAGCACCTTTATGGGGTGATTATCTCAGCTATGAGGAAATCGGGAATGAACAAGGCACCATTGGAAATAAATATGTTTCCTGAAATTGTACTTAAGGTTATGTAAGGTGTCTTGTTTAGATACAAATGTCAGGACAGGCAGCACCTGTGTTTCTTTAATAACAGGTTCACTTTAACTTGCTCTTGCACCATAACATTGCTATTTATCTTTTTCTCTCGTGTATATGACACAGTTCCCAGACGGAGACCGGCCTTGTCAAGCAATGGGATTGTGATCAGTAGAGTCGATGTGACCGGCACTTCTAGCAAATCTGTAACCCAGCACACCATCACTATAACACCATACAACTGCGGGTACAATTTTCCGCTCTTTGCTGTGGGATTTGCTGAGGTATGTTCATAAGAGGAGTAAAAATGTGTATATACTTATTCTTTATGATAGGGTTAATCCATAAATAATGTCATGTAATAATTTAGTACCTAATGTTACTATTGTCAGTCCCACTGCTGACAAAATACTTATTAATATTGTAGGGCCTAGTGCAGATTCTGTAGCTTTTGTAATCTATAGTATCTAATTTTTTACATTTTTTGTAATTACTCCCATGGATTGTCTATTCTAGATCAGGGGAGGCCATAAGGTCGATCGCGATCTACCAGTCGATCGCGTAACGATCACTGGTAGATCGCGATGTCCTCTCCTACAGCCGTTGGGGCTTCTCTGGATCCCCGCTGCTCTCCCCATCTGTATGCAGCGGGGATCCGAGAAGAAGTGAAGGAACCGGCAGCGGGGGAGGGCGGAGGACGGAGCCACTGTCACAGAACTAATGCCGAGCGGTGAGGAGAGAGAGAGATGCTCGGTCTGGATCTGACAGCCGGCGCCTCTCTCTCCCCTCACCGCTCGGCCTTAGTCCTGTGACAGCGGCTCCGCCCCCCGCTGTGTGCTTTGTGTCGGATCCCCCGCTGCCTCTGCCTGGGAGAGCAGGGGGGATCCATGGTAGAAGCTGAGCCCCCGTGTGCGTGGCCGAGTGGCAGAGGATCAGTACATATCAGTGATATGTACTGGCAGAGGCGTAACTAGAACCTTCAGGGCCCCGGTGCAAGAAACCATGAAGGGCCCCCCTCCCAACCCCACGGCACTGCATGGTTAACAGGAAGGCTGCTGAGGTCCCCAGCAAGTGTGGGACCTCAGGCAGCCGCTTGTTTAAAATTTTAGTGCCGGTGTTCTGTCGAGAACGCCGCCCCAGTATCTGCGTTTATGTACAGACGTGATTAACGAGGAAACCGGCATTTATTTACAAAGTATTCATTTGTAATTGTTAATTGTGACCGTTAATGATATGCCGTCCATGGCAGGAAATGATGGACGGAATATTATTATCGGTCACAATTAACGATTTAAACAAAATACTTTGTGAATAAATCCCGGTTTCCTCGATAATATTGGTCTGTGTGTAAGCGCAGATGCTGAGATCGGCGTTCTCGACAGAACACCGGTATCTGCGTTTAGTATCGGGGCATTTTCACGAGTATGAATACTTGTGAAAATGCCCAGTATTAACACTGGTGTATCCCTACTTAAAAATATAATGCATTGCTGGGACTTGTAGTCCTACATAGTTGGAGCTATTCTGCATTGCTGTATAATCTTCATACAGCAATGCACAATACCACCAGCTATGCGGGACTACAAGTCCCAGCAATACATTATAATAAAAGTAAGGTATGCAGAATACCACCAGCACCCCCCCCCCCACTATAATGCATTGCTGGGACTTGTAGTCCTACATAGTTGGTGCTATTCTGCATTGCTGTATAATCATCATACAGCAATGCAGATTACCACCAGCTGTGCTGGACTACAAGTCCCAGAAACACACACACTCTCTCTCTCTTCCCAGCGCCCCCTCCCACTCCAAACTTACCTTCCCTCTCCTGCAGGCCCATGGCCCTCTTCCTCGTCTTGGCGGCCAGGGGGCGGAGCTAAGAGACGGCCCTCTTAGCTCCGCCCCTAAGAGGCGGGACCAGCTCATTCTCCGGGATCAGTGACAGCGTCTCCAGCCCTTTCGCACAGCCGCCCGTACATGCTGCGGGTGGCTGTGCGACAGGGAAGGAGCGGCACGATCGCGGGGGGGCCCTCTACTTCCTTGCTGGCCCCCCCCAAGTGACGGAACGCCAGGGCCCGGTCGCAATTGCGACCCTGGTAGTTCCGCCAGTGTGTACTGGTCATCTGTGCAGGACAAACACTGGAGCGATTGTCTGATCACTCCAGTGTTTGTAAATAACTGGGGACACATAGTACTATGTGTCCCCAGTTATAAATGAACAGGATGTGATTTGCATAACTTCCTTCATTCATGAGTTTCTCAACGGGGAGAAACATTCACTACAGAGGCTCCTCCCCATTCAGAAACTTGATAGTAAAATATTTTCTTAATGAATGGGAAGCCTCTGTGCTTTCCATTCATTTAGAACAGAGGCTGCAGAAAAAGAACGGGAGAATAAGACGCCGGGGCCTCTAGGACGCACTGGAATGTAAGCCGGCCGACTTCCTGCGTTCAGGTGCGGGAGGGGGTGTGGGGTTGTATAGAAGTCAATGGCACCACAGGCATGCCACCTGCCCAAAGTGCGATCGCCCGCACCCAGAACGCAGGCACATTAGTGCCTGCATTCCGGTCCAGTGCGATCTGCAAAAATAGTGCTCGCAGCATTTTGGCGGATTGCACTGGACTGGAACGCAGGCACTAATGTGCCTGGGTTCCGGGTACAGGCGATCGCACTGTGGGCGAGGGGCCTGCCTGCGGTGCCATTGACTTCAATGCACCGCCCCGCCACTGAATGCAGGTGTTTTTTTCGTTAGATAGATCTCATTGAGCTCGTCATTTGAAAAGTAGATCTCCAGACGAAAAATTGTGGGCGCCCCTGCTCTAGATCCATCAACAAATTAAAGAACAACTCCAGTCAAATTTTTTTTAAACGTCTGTCAAGGGTTTGCTTTTTTATTTCAGCAGTTCAGCAATGGATTTTAAGCTTGGTGAAGGTTCCAAATAAATCAGAGGATTGCTCTAGTGTGGCATTGCTCTATTGCCAGGTAGAGCTCCAACAGGGTCCTTGAGAGGGCCAGCTTGCATTGAGTGAAAAGATAAAAGCACCAAGCCGTAGGGGTCGGTCCAGATATGCATTTTTCTGTACCACGATAAAAAAAGGTCTATCAGGAGTTAACATTGAAATTCATTTCGTAGGTCATACACAAAATCCCCTTTATCAGGGCTTGAATTTATTGTGCAAGAAGAACATGGATGGGTAGTTAATCCTGGATTTTAAATAAAAGACACAGAATAATGCAGCTCTGTATTCAGGAATACATCCTTAAATTAAGGAAGTGTAATTTGACCTGGTATCCGCCTCCTGAAATCTCTGTACAGCAGAGCTCAGAGCTGGGAATGGAGAAGCACCACAAACAAGTTTATCAGTTGTGCTGAAGTACAAGATGCATGTTCATTGGAGTGCAAGGGGCATGTTCATAGGAGGGAAGAGCAGAGTGACTGAGAGATGCTCGCATCATCCTGCAGCTTCGCATTTAACTGTCCACTCACAGGCCAAAGGAGGGACAACACCTGCAAGTATTATGAATCGGAGCAGAGACAAATCAGGTCTCCTGCTGCCAGGCAAACAAATGTAATCAGTCATTCATATAGGTTTGTGTTTAGTTTCAAAATCTGCTTTGTCAATAACAGTAAATGATAACGAGAATTACAGAATAATAATTGTTCTTTATTCTTTAATCTTACCCATGATCAGGACATTCAGCTAAACACTGATTCAGCCATCTATAGTGCATCGACCTGGACCCCGGGGACATTAGTGAAGATCAACAGGACCCAGACAGCCTCTCCCCCTGTTGGAGGAACATTCAGCATTGTGGGTTATGAGAATGAGGTTACAGGTACTGTCAATCATGCTCATCTTCATGATTCTAGATAAAATAATGAATTTTTGGCCATTTAAAAACTCCAGTTTTATATAACATTATATGTGCCCTTCCTAATGCTGAACTCCAGACATGGAGCTAATGACACACATGCAATTCATATAAGGGATTTGTTTGACCTGCCAAAGAATTTGCATTTCTGTCTTTCTATTTCGGAGATTTATACAGCTGTCACACAGCGCCAGATAGCTGATTTCTCTCTGCAGCAGAAAGTAGTACCAACAGGTCCTGTTCCGCCCCCAGCCAGTGACTGGACAGTGAAAAGAAAAGAGGCAGACTGGTCTGATCTCATATGTGCTCAACTAGATCATCTCTCTGTTACTTGGCTTTCTTGTCCTATCAGCATGCTTCTTGTTAGTAATGAGCACTGAAGCACAACTGACTTGACTTCTCTCAATCTGTGCTCTGCTATATAGGGCTGACACCAAGTCAAACTTAGGTACTTACATTGTTTGCATTTAAAAAATACATTTTATGATGTGTTATTTAATACAGAGCTGCAATATTTTGTATCTTTTATATCTGCCTGGAGTTCAGCATTAAAAGTGAACTATGGGGTAAGTGTTTTTCCCCATAGTTCTCTTAAGGGTCACAGGAGGACATATACTAACCTCCTCCCGTGACCCAACGCTCAGTATATCGTTAGCAACAGCTCGCAGTATACTGATCCCGACAATGCTGTAGAGATCCACCCAGCTGTGTGAGTGACAGCAGGCTCTGTCTTTCTAGAGGCAGAGCCAGCTGTACCCGCCCCCTTCCCGCCCGTTCCTCCAGTCAGCGCTGGAGGATCAGAGCGGGGAGGGGGTAATCTCTACTGTGAGCCTTGACTGACAGTTACGGCTCTCTGCAGGGACATGATCAAGAAGTGAGCGAGTGACAGTATGTGTTTGCTCACTTCCCAATCTATTGAGCCGACGTGTGACAGTTTTATTGTCACCGGATCGGCTCGAACTATGAGGATGAGTGAATTTCACTCACCTCATAGTTCTCCTTTAATGAAACTTGGACCGTCAAGTGACATTATTGGAGCTACAGATTATATCATCATGTTGCATCCCATAATTTTTCCTTTATTATATGACTCATGGGCTTCTATTTTCTTGTCCTGTGCATGGGGAGGTGACAATGACTTGTGGTCTCAGTAGGCCTCCCAGTGAACAGCCCTTGTATCCTGTACACCCATGCTAGTTCTGCTAGAGCACCTTATCATGTTGGCAGATGGGCATGCCAGTACTTCAAGCCTGGAAATGATTACATATTTTGTTGCATTGTAGGTCTTCCGGCAGACATAGCACAGTATGATCTAAAGTATGCCCTAGAGTCTATTCCAGAAATTGGTCAGGTTACTGTTTCAGCAAGATCTGGAAACTGCAGAGGATACTCATGGCAGATAAAGTTTTTGACAGCTACAGGCTACCAGCCTATTTTACAGGTAAGAATTGGTTTACTATACCATGCATGTATGTAAAGGACAGATACATTCAGTTTTGTGTTGATACCAGCCAGCTTTTTAACATCTCTTAGAATTTCCCATGGTAAATTTGTTCTTGCTGTAGCTTGTTTATCTGCCTACATGCACGATCCCATAAGGTGTCACTCTCTAAAAAGCCATTTTGTACAATTTGAAGAATCTGCTGAAAGTTAAGCGTCATTACTTGACTTTGCATTGGCTGCCACAGTTGGATAGAGCTGGGAATTATAAAGATATTTAATCACTGGGGTCCCTAAGAAATATATTAAACCTGAATTTTCAGATAACTCATATATCAGTTCAAGTTAGAATGTATGTTAAAGTCATATCCCAGTTTGAGTAAATGTTTGGTGAAAATCACATTCAATGTTTTATGAATATGCCCCTTAGTGTTTGGTGAATTCCAGTGCATTAAGTCACACATCTTACCTTGTAGTATTCAGCAATGAAGTATCCACACTGTAGCATTCAGCTCCTCTCTTCAACACAGTTGTTACTTTCATTCCTCCTATTGGGTTCTCTGTAATATAAAATAATAAGGGAACCTAAGAAATAAACTGAGATCCCTTTACAGTTGCCACAATGGTTGGGTGAGGGTTGGACCTCAGGTGTAGAGATATCTTCATCAGAGTACTCACAAAATGTAACATATTGGCAGGTAATGCAGCCTGCTCTACCTGTACTAAATTGGGGGACTCCAGAAACTAAATTGCCCCCCTCCTCAAGATCCAAGCTCAACCACTGATAAGACAAACAAAACACATATGGGAAAAACAGAGTGAACCATGTACCTGTATCTGTTTTGACAGTAGTCAGGGATGAAACTGTAGATGTAGCAGCCAATGTGACTGCTTCGGGGCAAAGAGCTGTGTTGCTAGACAGTGATTTATGCAGGCAGCAATGGAATAATGGAATACACTTTAGTCATGAATATAATTACAGTATTTGCTGGCGTATAAGACTACTTTTTATACTTAAAAACATCCCCGAAAATCGGGGGTTGTCTTATAGGCAGGGTATACAATGTATACCTTTAATTCGTTTAGGTCATGCTGGCCCAAAACAAACATCCCTAATCTGTCAGCCCGCTGGATGTGCGGAAATACTGTATGTACGGTAGCTTCGGCTACATACAGTAGCTGAGCCAATCACGGCGAGCGATGTACACAACCTCTGCCAAGCTTTGTATTCATTAATAGAATACATTGCTCGCCATGATTGGCTCAGCGTGGTATACTGTATGTAGCTGAAGCTACCATACATACAGTATTACCGCACATCCATCCATGATGTTTTTAAATGGTGTTGCCTCGGAAGTGGGGTAGTCTTATATGACGAGTATAGCCCAAAACCTATGTTTTAAGTGGAAAATTAGGGGGTCGTCTTATACACCCAGTCGCCTTATACTCCAGCAAATACGGTAGTAATCTTTATCATTAGAGGAGTTGGCTTTAAAATGTAGATCAGAGAGACAGGGGTCCCCTTAATACTTCTTATATGGGGCCCCATGAAACACAGTTATGCCCCTGACAGCAGTATCAGTGACTGACATTTTTTCTGCCTTAAGAATAAGTCACACGCATAACTATGGGGTGGTAAACAGTTATGTTTGCCATTTTCAACATCACAACAATAAATATTTTTCTGCTAGTTTAAGGATTAGGCCATGGCGTGGTCAAGCCACAGAAAAAGGTTAACGTGCATGTAAATCCAAAATCTATTTTACACTATGTTAGTTATTATGCCTCAGTGTATGCAGTTTTTGTAAACAAAGAAAACCTGGAATTTGCATAGTTTTACTTGGAGTTCCTGCCAGTAACAGCACTTAATCTTTCAGGTTGACAATGCTAAGCCCGGACTTTGCATTTAGAAGCAGTGTTGTCAAGGTTCTGCGTGTATGTAACGGGAACCGCCGACTCCGCTCACCTGGGGCCCTCGGGGGGCATGGTTCCGCCGCTTCTCGCCGCCGGCCGTCTGCGTCCCAGGGTGGAGCGCACACATCCACTTCCGGGTTCGGACGTCGGATGCGTTCCACCGTGGGACGCGGAAGTGCGCCGCCTCGATCAGCGGCTCCACCCCCAGCCCTTGGCCCTATATAAACGCCCCAGTGAGACAGTATGGCGTTCCACTAATGCAGACTGAAATTGGCTCAGCGTGGTATACTGTATGTAGCTGAAGCTACCATACATACAGTATTACCGCACATCCATCCATGATGTTTTTAAATGGTGTTGCCTCGGAAGTGGGGTAGTCTTATATGACGAGTATAGCCCAAAACCTATGTTTTAAGTGGAAAATTAGGGGGTCGTCTTATACACCCAGTCGCCTTATACTCCAGCAAATACGGTAGTAATCTTTATCATTAGAGGAGTTGGCTTTAAAATGTAGATCAGAGAGACAGGGGTCCCCTTAATACTTCTTATATGGGGCCCCATGAAACACAGTTATGCCCCTGACAGCAGTATCAGTGACTGACATTTTTTCTGCCTTAAGAATAAGTCACACGCATAACTATGGGGTGGTAAACAGTTATGTTTGCCATTTTCAACATCACAACAATAAATATTTTTCTGCTAGTTTAAGGATTAGGCCATGGCGTGGTCAAGCCACAGAAAAAGGTTAACGTGCATGTAAATCCAAAATCTATTTTACACTATGTTAGTTATTATGCCTCAGTGTATGCAGTTTTTGTAAACAAAGAAAACCTGGAATTTGCATAGTTTTACTTGGAGTTCCTGCCAGTAACAGCACTTAATCTTTCAGGTTGACAATGCTAAGCCCGGACTTTGCATTTAGAAGCAGTGTTGTCAAGGTTCTGCGTGTATGTAACGGGAACCGCCGACTCCGCTCACCTGGGGCCCTCGGGGGGCATGGTTCCGCCGCTTCTCGCCGCCGGCCGTCTGCGTCCCAGGGTGGAGCGCACACATCCACTTCCGGGTTCGGACGTCGGATGCGTTCCACCGTGGGACGCGGAAGTGCGCCGCCTCGATCAGCGGCTCCACCCCCAGCCCTTGGCCCTATATAAACGCCCCAGTGAGACAGTATGGCGTTCCACTAATGCAGACTGAACGCCTACTGTCTCCTGGGACCCCACTGCTCTCCTACCCTCCTGCAGGCCGCTACACACCTCTGGATCGAATCCTCCGGGACCCCTGCACCTCAACTGCCTCCACTCAACAGCAAGTAATTGTGCCATTTGCACTGCAGCTTAAAACCTTTAGTGACTGTATAACTAAGTGCCGTAGAGTAGCTCTTGTGCTCCATCTAGTGGACTGTTGGGAGATCACATCATTGACTCTAAATAAGGCTGTTACACTCCTGAATTTCAGTTATCATTCCTAACCATTACAAATTGAGGGTATTATACCAAGATAGGGAAATGCTGTAATATCCCTTCTTCCTTTTTGTTTCTTTTGGCTGTGATGCTTGAACCCTAACTCCCCGTTAAGATTGGGAGTGAAACCAGGGTTCCGTCTGAGTAGCCTCCGCAGTTGCGATCCACAAACGCCGAAACTACCCCAGGCGTTACAGTGTACTCCTTCATTTGGCAATTATGTATCAGGTCTATCAGATAGGTAGACCAACAACCAACTGAAGGACCTTGCATGACAGGCTGACATCGCTGCTCCTAATTACGAGGCAGTGGTTTAACACTGTCAGCCTGCAACAGGAAGTGCTGTTGCCAACAGGAACTCCAGGTAACTTTGCAATAAATTCACCAAAAATGAGTTGCTCAAGAAAACTGCATAAATTCAGACATGTTGCCTAACATACTGATAAAATAGGTGTTGGGTTTACATTCACTTTAAGGTTATCTAAAATGTAAAATATTTGGCAGTCCTTATAAAGAATACAGGTATAACATTTGTTTGAAACTATATTTATCTAAATGTCTAAATGTGATTTTTCTGTCCTGGTTAGATAAATGACTCAACCATCACTGGAGTAAATGCTAAAATGTATGGCGTAAAGGTTATTGATGGAGGTCTTTTCCGTCAGCATCTGCTTGGAGACCTTGTGAGGACGCCCCATAAAACACCTCAGGTATAACTATATAAATACACTTGTTATTCAGCATATGTTACAGTTTAAAGTGATCTTGTACTCCAATAATAATTTTCCATAAGTACTTCATAGAAGAACTACATCCCACTATCCTTCACAGCCAAGGAAGCCTCTATTTTGGATTGCATTTGCCATGGTGCTACACATATGATCAGCTATGACACTAGCCATTTGAGGGCTCGGTTGAGAGTAGAGTTGCCACCTTTTCTTCAAGCAAAACCCGAAACACTTTAGCGACACACGGACATTTTCTTGGGAGAATGAGTCATGGCTCATTTATATGTAAATAGTACCACCCATTCATATGTAAATATCACAGTTGAGATTATTTTCAATGGGGGCCCAGTAGCCCCTATCCTTATTTTGGTTGCCCCTCTCTGTCTGACATCTTGAGTCTGGGTTTCTGCTGCCATGAAACCCGGACACAGCATTCAAAACCCAGACTATCCTGGTGAATCCTGGACAGATGGCAACACTAGTTGGGAGCTGAAATAAACACTGGCAACCTTGTCAGTTGGCATGCCTTAAAAGTAACTTTTTGGGGAGACCTTAAATTGGTGGGTCAAGTTCCACTTTATGCCCTCTGCTTGACTTCCAAACAGGCTGCAATGCTTTATTGTTAGCTACTATTCCTAACTTCTGTCTTTGTGTCAAATCATATCACTGCTTGCAGCAAAGTGCATGAAATCTATGTAAACACCTTTAAAAATGGACCCTGATGAGTTAAATATACATCACAGGCTATTATGTTTACCCTCAGCAATAAAAGTGTTCTTCCTCACTTCCTGTGTAGTGAAACTATTGTCAGAGAGCGAAAGCCTCTCTAACAGTGCCCTGGACTGAAGTAAAACCAAACAGGGGTTTTAATCCTTCTGCACTCTAAATCTAAAACCTCTGGAAACATTTTTTTGCAGTAGTTTGGCACTTGAGCTAATGTTTGGATATTTCGAGGGACATTAAAAGAGGTCATAGAATGGCCGTGTCCACTGACAGATATTACATTTGTACAGCTGTATGTTTCTTACCTTATGTTCAATACCTGATATGATATAGTTCAACTTGGGTAGTTTCACACATTTATAGTAGGGAAAATAAGCAGCCTAGAGCTATGATGGCCTTGTTTTTAGGATTTTAATCCTTTAACGAGCAGCACGGTGTTTAAAGATGTAGTGGTAGATGCCATTGGGTTGCAGCTCAGCTGGGTTCAGTTACCTCCAGAACAATGTCTGAACAACAAAGAGCTGAAGCTGCAGAACCAATGTCCAGAACAAAGAGCTGCTGATTTTTAGTGTATAATAATGAATGATTCAATATATTTAGGCAATTGAAAAACATTGTCCTGTATACTGTATAGGGAGCATAGGCATCTATGGCTAAAGGCTGCTAAAGATTATACTGATAACTCATTGGTTACGTTGGGTGGTGAGACCTTACATGGATATTCATTTGGGACTTATCTCAAATATCTTGTCATTCTACAGGTTGAAGTCTACATCAATGGAATTCCATCCCAATGTGTCGAAGACTGTGGTTACACCTGGAATGTGGGGGGAACTCCAAAGATAAACTCTGTTAGTTCAGGTAAAGTATACACATATCTTCTGTATTATTAACCTTTCTAACAGTTTTCGTCACAGCTCTACATTACCCCGAAATCAGTGGTTCGCGCATGCCATGAAATAATGTATTTATATGTTGCAGAAGAATGGGTGATTAGTTGCCTAATGCCTGCATGTCAACTTATACTCTCTTATTAATTCTAATCCACACTGTGTTAACCACGTTAACTGGTCACCAGTCTGATTGGAGGAAAGGCTTCCTTTTTAAACCTCTGCCATCCAATCCACACGTGGGCTACCTTTGCGCTTTACATTGTAAAAATGTGATGCTTTTGACGCTACTGTTGATATGTCTGTGTGGTGACATGTAGGCAGCAATCAAAAACATTATTTGCAGTCACTAGAGTCAGGGCCGGCCTTAGGGGTGTGCGAGCCGTGCGGCCGCACAGGGCGCCATGGCAACAAGGGCGCCGTGCGGCCGTCACAGCTCGTCCTGTACATCTGGTGCAATCTCCTCTGGTGTATTGTGTCATATCAACTGCCATAGCTGCTATTTAGTTAGAAACCATCTGTGTCTCTCCACTCCTGTGTTTGGTTATGCAAAGGACAAGGACACTATCCACTATTCCTTGACCTACCATCTCTTTACTGACAGCCTCCTGTTTCCCAGTTCAGTAAAGTACTTTGAATCTACTTTGCCTGCTGGGTGACTTTTCATAGCTCACAATTAAAGGAGAACTATGACATGAGTGATTTCCACTCACGGGGTTAAAAACATTATTTTGTCATAGGATTTCTTTCTCTTTCAAGAAGACTAGATTGGGCATTTGCGAGAATCCAAATCTTGAATCTTTTAGGGATAGTTATGAGTTCTGCTATTCAGCTGTATTCTCTCTCTATCAGAGAAGAACTTGCAGCCTGCTGTCAGGTTGTGGGGCTCTCATAGAGGCTGACTTGTCTCCTGCCTGAGTGGAGGGCTGATTACTGACACACTCTTTGGGCTTTCAATTAGCAAAAACTTTAGTTTTTTTGATGTAATTCTGGCAGCATCTGTGATTATTTTTGGAGTGTCTGTTATAAGCTCTACGCACAGGCTGAAGATAAGACGGCCTTACAATCTGACTGCTGGGAGACAATGCAAGTTAATAATAAAACAAATCTGAGCAGTTAGGCTGGACAATTTTAACAATACAAGGGTGGAGATTCAGATTTTTAAAGAAGCCAGTTTATAATTGGTTCTCTTTCATATGAACCAATGGCCAAGCTATAGACATTATTATTATTATTAAATAGTATTTATATAGCGCCAACAGTTTGCGCAGCGCTTTACAATATAAGGAAGACATTAAAATTCAAGACAAGATGGTAAGGAGGGCCCTGCCCCTGAGGGCTTACAATCTGAAAGAGGAGGGGGAAATGATACATGAGGAGGTAGCTGTGTGGGGATGAATTATTTGAGAATGCGAAGGTTCAGTGGTTAGGTTGAGGTGGGATAGGCTTCCCTGAAGAGATGAGTCTTTTCAGGGAAAAGGCAGTCAAGGTGGGAGATAGACGGACAGATTTGGGTAAAGAGTTTCAGAGGATGGGAGAGACTCTAGAGAAGTCCTGGAGGTGTGTATGGGAGGAGTGGACAAGGGAGCTGGAAAGCAGGAGGTCAATGGATGAGCGGAGGGGACGGTTAGGGTAATACTTTGAGACAAGGTCTGAGATATATCCGTGGGCGGAGTTGTGGATGGCTTTATAAGTGACTGTTAATATTTTGAATTTTATCCTCTGGGCGAGTGGAAGCCAGTGCAGGGATTGGCAGAGGGGGGATGCAGACACTGAGCGGTTGGTAAGGTGAATCAGTCTGGCAGCTGCATTCATGATAGACTGAAGGGGGGATAGCCTGTGTAGTGGAAGGCCAATGAGTAGGGAGTTACAATAGTCAAGACGAGTGATAACAAGGGAGTGGATGAGTAGTTTTGCGGTTTCTTTGGTGAGGAAGGGGCGTATTCTTGAGATGACATTCAAGTGTTTACATTTTCTTGACAAGCCGTAAATGAACTTTAAAAAAGGCCCTTACTGACCTCTCTAGCACACTGCACTGTGGACTAATTCATTCTCCCATTCTCCAATATCACAAGAGTAGCAGTGAAGTCCTTATCTTTCAAAGCTCTAATCTCTCTCCCCTACGCACCTGCTTTGTTATCACATTAGAGATTAGAAGGTTGAAAGGCTGGCAATTCACTGCTGGAAGGGGAGCTGAGCTGCTGAAAGTGTATCTGCTTCTGCTGTAAAGTTGAAGGATGAATTGCTCCACGGTGCCTGCAGCTATACCTCCAAATATTTCAGTATGATTAGCTCCATAATATGGGATGTTTCAAACATTTGAAGTTCCACTGTGGTGTTTTATGACTTCAATACGTTTGGAATTTCCTACTCAAGAGAAACCAGAACAGGATTAGGGTTTACTTTAGTTACTTCAGTGAAACTCTGAAAAGCAGTTAAATGTTTTTGCAAATAAGAAACCCCATGAAAAGTGCATTCTGTTTGCCATTGCCCTATAAAAACAATTAAAATATATGATGACCCACTATTGTACATTTTGAAATATTTTATGCTGAATTGCTAGTTTTCCAGAGAAATTGATTTTGAAACACTTTTTTTTTTAGTGTGGAATGGAGATGATGAAGTCCTTATAATAGATGGAACTGGATTCTCAGGCAGTACTGCCAATGATAACACTTCGGTTACTATTGGCAACATTACCTGCCCCATTCTTAATGTTACGGGTAAGTCATTTAATGAATAATAAAATCAGTTGTAGAAAACCAAGGCAATCAATAATCAAAAATGAATTTCACTCATATGTTTTTGATTTTCAATTATTTTTCCAAAAGCCAAAGAGATCAGATGTCTGGTACAAAAGGCAAGTGCAGGGACCTTCCCCATCACAATTTACATTGCAGAGGTCGGGCTGGCAGTGTCCTCTGGGGATAACGTGACCTTTACACATGGGCTGTCTGTCTCATCCATCACACCATCAGAGGGAAGCTTAGCAGGTAAGAATGGAACACCGAAAAGGAGTGGGTTTATAAAGAAGAAAACATTGGGATAAAATGGAGCTCTAGAACCAATCTGAATCCTGCTATAAGTTACAATATGTTAAATAAATGCATAATAAGTAATATGTGAGTGTAACACTTACAAGTATTTATACCCTCTCACAAAAACGACTTCCCAGTAGAAGATCTTCATCTGTTTTTTCTCCATAAGCAGGAACAATCTTTGTTCAGGGATCATCCAGGGCCCCATATACTTCCTGGACTGATAGTAGAGCTCAGAGATTACACAACCATCTAATTCCTGGTGTCAGTGCAGTTTTTGTGTGTTGACAAATACTGACAAAGATCAGCCCCTGCTGAAGCCTTTCTTGTGACCCACAGTGTAGTCTGGCCACTGGGCGAGAGGAAACTGAGGAAATTCTTCCTCCTGCTTGCAGCACACTGAAGACATCATCTCAACCTAAGCAAAATGACCTGACTGTAGCTAGACTGCTTTTTCGTGATTAAATGAACAGCTTTTAGAAAACAATTGCTGATTGCTGTCATTTTGTTGTATATTGTTAAATGTAAGGAATTTATAACTACACTGTGCATGGAAATATGTAGACTGATTAGAAACAAAAACTCCAGAATTCTAGCAAATTTACACTATTGACATGTCTGTATTATAACTCAACACTTTGTAAATGAAAATGTGAATCAGCAGTAGCTTTGGACTTTCAGTGTGATGTTTACTGCCTTCTTCCACCAGGGGGCACTCCGGTAACAATTCTTGGCAGTGGATTTGGTGGTGACTCGGCTGTAGAAGTTGGTGGCATTGCCTGCAGTATTATCTTTGTCAACCTGACTATGATTCAGTGCCGGACTTCAATGGTAAGAGGGTCTACGGCGTTCATAGCTCCTGGCCGGTTCATGATTGTTGGGGGAACAGCCAACCCATCTGGCTATTTGAAAATTGATTAAGTCAGCAAAATAAACTTGCCATAACAGGGTTTCTGATCAGAAAAAGTTACAAAGACATTTTATAGCTATGACTCAACTACGATTGGCTGAAATCTCTTTAACATGAATGGGCTGTGAGACATCTGATCATCCTCCTTTAAACTGTAAGCTGCAATCTTCCTCCAAGTAATATAAAGGTCTCAGTCACAAATAGTCAGAGTGAAGTCTGGACTAGATCTGCATGCTTGTTCCATGTTAGCAACTCATAAAATAATGCTATAAATCCATCCAAGTATTTTCAGAAGACAAGATCAGCAATGGTAGCATTCCTATACTCTTGGTATAGGTTCAACTTAAAGTATCTAAAGGAAGAACTTTGCACTGATTGTAGCAAATAAACAGAACAACCCTCTCCTTTTCCATATTGAACAGATATAATAAAAAGGAGAATCTTAGCGTATGCCATGGCCAACACAGGCAGAACTGTCTTTGGACATATTATCGTAGAAAAATGTACGCTTAAAAGAGAAGTAAAGTCAAACTTTTTTGGGGCTTTACCTCTCTTTTAAGTCACATTTACTAATGTACTCCTGTGACCCAAAGTCACAAGATAGTGGGCTACTGCTATTGGCTGACAGCTGACAGGCTGCTATCTGCTGACAGTGCAGAGCTGTGCCGCAGCCAGGTAGGATCCTGACAATATTGGCTACCTGATTGACAGCTAGGCCTCTCTAGAGCCAGAGCCAGCAACGCCCGCCCCCTCCCCTGTCTGTCCTTCCAATGAGCGCGGACCGAATGGAGAGGTGAGGGGGGAATTCCTGTGGAGAGCGGTGACTGACATTCACTCCTCTTTGCAGAGAGGAAACCAAGAGCTAAACGGTTAAATGATTGGTCATGCACTTGGTCTTAGAGCCTGTGTGTAACAACTGCAGTGTCCCACGGCAGCTCTAGGCAGTGGGGAGAGTATGTTTTACTTAATTTCACTATTTTGTAGTCATATAAGTGCACTTCAAATAACAAAGTTGAGTACTGGTCGTGATAATTTTTTATTTTTCATTTGCACTTACAGCGAAATTCTCATGACAGACTTTTGGGGTGTACCCACTTCATCTTAGGTCCAAGCAGTACTGAAGGGGGTACACCCTGAAAGCTTGTCCTAAAAAAATTAACTGTTAGTGCAAAAATAAAAAGTATAATGGACAGTGCTCAACTGGGTTATCACCATTGACATAAATGGACTTGGCCTTCTGTCCTGTATTAGGACCTAGTGACAGAAAACTGATTCTGCATGTTTTAAATAACATCTGCCCTGTATAAGTTCTAAAAACAAATCATATATTTTTATAGGTAAAACTGACTTATACACAACTAATTTCCACAACTTTATTTGCAGGGAATTGGGGGACTCGCTGATGTTGTTGTCTTCACCGGTGGCTATAACAGAACCTTACAGAACGCATTCAGTTTTACTTCGGTCTCGGCTCCAAACATAACTAATATCAGTCCAAACATCAGCAGTGTTCTGGGTGAGTGCATTCACTTAGTTCCTTTTTGTTGTATATTTAATTGTCAAGTACATATTCTGTAATGAAATCAGACCTAATGATTCCTAAAAAGAAGCTTGTGTATAAAATTGTCTACTTTTTTACAGGTGGCACAACGCTGACTATTTTAGGGTTCAGCTTTAGCAGTCCATCAGCAGACAGCACTGTGTTCATCGGAAATTCATCCTGTGTACTGTTAGAGTGGATGCCCACAAACATTACATGTGTCCTTCCTGCTCTTCCCCCTGGGATCTATCCAGTCTTAGTTCAAGTGGAAAATTGGGGATTTGCAGTTTCCAGGTACATTATTAATTTCTGAACAGTTTTTGCTCTGGTTGGCTGCCGCACAAATAACATTGTACTGTTAGGCAATATTGTCTTAAAGTGACACTAAACTCCGGGGACGTGCGGTCATGGGAGGCAGGTGAGGCAGGGCCTCACCTAGTATTATGAAGAAAAAAGGTGTCAGCTTCAAGTCTGTAGCTGACAGCTTTTTCTCCATTCAGTGCGGCTTGTTACAGGTTACACAGCAAGGAAAGCCTCCCCGCTGTGTAACCTGTCATGGACGGAGTGCTGCCTGTTAATTACAAGTGAGGCAAGAGCTGTCACAGCCTCTACTCTGTGTTAGAGGCGTGAGCTCTGTAGATGGCTTGAACCAATGGCAAAGCGCCATTGGTCCAAGCTGTCCAATCTCGATGCCTCAGCAGTGACTCACCAGTGACCAGCAAGTGAGGGACAGGGAGGCTCCTCCCTGTCTCCTCCCCACACAACTTGGTTACCGAGCTGGGGGTGGGGCTTCGACAGGATGGGTGGAGCTTTGGCGGGACGGGCAGAGCTTTGATGGGGCGGAGCTTCAGCAGGCCTCACCCAGCACAGAAGGCACTGCACGTCACTGCTAAACTCAGGAGTTTAATCTTAAAAATGCATTCAAGTGCCTTTTACCAAATATGTAGGTTATTTGTGTATTACTCGGCTGTATATCCTCAAGTATTCTCTGAATTGGTGCTGACACTGTCCTTCCTTCTGGAGGGGGGCTACTTTTGTTCCCCATGATCCCTGTGTGTGTTGTAAAGTAGCCACCGCTCCAAACTTACTTCCATGATGGACTACAATCTCATGTTTAGTTTACTAATTTGTATGAGATTTGGGGCTATTTACAACACACACAGGGACCATGGGGAACAAAAGTAGCCACCCTCCAGAAGGAAGGACAGTGTCAGCACCAATTCAGAGATGATTTCAGCATCACTTTACTGCTCTTATGCTCCATGGGGGAATTTTTGGGAATACTTGACTTGGTTTCCTTTCAAGAACCTTGGAGCAAGCAGTTGAAATATGTAATTTAATTTAATGAGCTTCTTATGGGGCAGAATCGTGCTTTTGCGGCCCCATAGAGCCTGAAAAACGCCTTATAAAACATGTGTTGTCCAGGTGCTCCTCTTTAAAAGTCTATGGGGCCAAAAAAACATGATCCAGCTCCTGTATTACAAGTTGCGAGTGAAAGCACACAGAAATCGCATGCTTAGATGTGAATGGGGTCTAAGACAAAATCTGTGTAGCTGGATAGAATACACGGATTTGTTTTCCCTAAGTTCCCTCAAGATCAAAGTTGAACTCCAGGCACTATTCAATTAAATATCTGTAAAAAATAAGTCAAGGCAACTGGACTTTTTCTTGAAGACGTTTCTCTGGACATCCGACCAGCTTTCTCAATTCTGAATTGAGAAAGCTGGTCGGATGTCCAGTCAAATGTCTTCAAGAAAAATACAGCAAGTCCAGTTGCCTTGACTTATTTTTTTTACAGATATACCATGACCTGGATGAATGAGAACCTTCACAGACACATTCAATGAAATGCATATAGAGGATCTCTTTCATTTGCCATAGGGTGTGCATTTCTCTGCATCTAGTCCTGAGATTTACAGATATCTGCCACACCACAAAGTCCTGTTTGGCAGGGCAGAAGATTTGATTTCTCTCTTCTTCAGTTCAGTAACACTTACAGATGTCTTCCCCACCTCCAGCCACTGACTGGACAATGAAAAGGGAAGCAGCACACTGATGAGCTAATTTCTCTGTCACTATGCTCTCCTCATATCAGAATACTCATTGCACTGCAGCAAACTGAGCAGCTCCTTGTGCTGCTCCCCCCAAATCTAATCTCTGCTGTACAAGGACAAAACGATGATGGTACCAAGTCAAATTCTCTTACACTGCTTGAATTTAAATAATAAATATACATTTAAATATGTATTAATGAATGCAGAGCTGCATTTATGTGTTTTTTTTATGTTTGGCTGGAGTTCAGCTTCAGAGAAAGACTAAAGAGAAATTACAGATATGCCAATTACAGTTATAGTAAAGGCACCAAGTACTAAAAGCTGTGGGAGAGGAATTACAATGAGCAACAGTCCTCAGGACTTGATATCTTTGATGGATGTCACATTGCCCTGCCTTTTTTCTGCATGCTGGTGGGCAGACACCTTGGCCAGAGCAATGTGAATTATTTTTTAATTCTTTATGCATTAGGAGTAGACAGCCTTACTGATCATGGTGTTACCCCTCACACACTAGCAATATTTAATATTGTAATTACTTTTATAGTGGGTGTTGTGTTGCAGGGACAGAAGGATAGTTACAAGGCTGCATATATTCTATACAAATGGGCCCTTGGCATGTAATGAATATTTCCTCTGGCTGCACCAGCTGCATGTTTTTCCAGGTCAGTGACCCAAAGTATTAAAGCCCAATACAGCCAAGCTACCTTAAAAAGGGATATCAACAGTGCCAACCTTTATACTTCTTTCAGTTCAGGTTTCCTTTAAATTAGTAAAATTCTGCTGCATAACAAAAAATGGGGCTGAGAGTGGGAGTAGCCACATTGTGAGCCAATTAGGCACATAACATTGCATAGCACTGGAGGCTGGAGCGGTAGCTGTGTAGTCAGCTTACAAAAGGAGGAAATTACAGAGTACACCTTAGAAGTGGGGTATGCTTATAATCTAATGGGGGTGCAGTCATGAGCTTCTGGAATCTAAAAAAGTATAATAAACTTATTGGCTAATGGTTTGATTTCAGCATGGATGATGTGGCATCAATAAAGTACATTCTAGAATTGAACAGTATCTCTCCACAACATGGATCCATGTACGGAGGTTCTCATGTTACATTGAGAGGATCTGGATTTAGTTCTAACCCACAAGACAACCTTGTACAAATAGGTAAGTTGCAACACTGTACCAAGTAATGTCATGTGATGGGGCCAGGTTTTTCAGCTCTGGAGAAGGCAACCCCAGGAGGGTGTTGTTCACATTATATGAAAAACTATAAAAAGAGTAACTCTGTAGCCAGGCAACTAGAATTTCCCCAAGAAGGTCAGCAATAGCACTGCATTTCAACCCTTCAATTGAACAACACATTGATGTGATTTTATGTCCCTGAAATACATTTTTGAGATGCACATCTGAATGTGGGTGAATGATATCCATGTAGCTGTTTGTATTTCCATAGTTTTCTGGTAATCTCCCCATTTGAAAGTATTAAAAAGTCACAGATTTACCTTTAAGATAATCTGTTGCTTTGCCCATTCCACGCAAATTGACAGGTTCTCTTGACAGAATGCTTTCCCCCCTACTCACCTATACCTTTACCATGATCCCCCACCAATCCTTTCGTCTGTAGGAGCCATGAGTCCAATCCCTCTGTAAGCTTAGCGTGGGTCTGTGTTATAGCTTATATAGGCTTAATGGCCTTCTTTCCCATGTGATAATGTTTGGGCCTGATGATTGGATGTTCAGGTTGAAGTACTACATCATCGAAGGAAGGGCAGATGGCCATGGGGTCCCTCACATCTGGGAACACCAGGTATTTCTAAGGGAAGCGGCGGGAGTGAAGTGAAGGTGAGTATCTATGGGTGGGTGGCCTAGCAGGAGAACCTGCTACTTTTCGCTGAATGGACAAATACATATTCTCTTTAAGTACAAATAACATTTATACATAAACTAGAAAGATAACTTTTTTTTGTGGGAGATACTGTTAGTAATTTTTTTTTTACTTTGTAACAAGATTAATTTTTTTTTTAATTAAGAATTTCTTTCATTTCTTTCTATATTATTTCTCATACTCAGGTTCCCTCCCATGCAATGTCTCCGCCAGCTCATCCACTGAGCTGACTTGTGTGATTCAGAGACCTGGAAATGTCTTTAATGTCAACAACCAAGGATCTAATGCAGGTGAGCGCAGTAGGGTTCTCTTATTAAATATGAGACATTCATAAAAATGGTATTTCTTTACACAGCATGATCTCGCCGGCAATCTAGGTTTTTTTTTTACTGTCTTAGTTTTAAAAAACTATGGTTCAGATTAGCATCACACTTTATATATGCGCTTTGTCTGCCTCAACAGTGTTACCTAATTAATGATAACTTCTCTTACTTGGCCCATATTTATGAATCGCGCAGCTTCAAGCTCGTATGAGAGGGGTCCCTTTTTGCAGGCTTCACCCTTAATAGTTCACAATCATGTTAAATGATTGTAACAATGAAAATACAACTTTAATGTGCCAGTGTGCTGACTGCTTAATATGCCAAGCTCCCCATTGTATGTACTAGTGATGCACCGATACTTTTCAGATACCAGTACCGATACTTGGCATTTTCATGAGAACAACCAAGCTTGCAGCTGGGACCTGGCTCTGGCGCTCCACCATTGTCCTGAAATCATTAGTCTGTATTGTTTTAGAAAAACTGTCACATGACAATAAACAAAAATGTTCAGTACTTGTACTTGTAAAAATGGTATCGGCGCATCCCTTTTTTTATATTTATAAAAACAATATCATACATTATAACAGAGATGTACAAATCCCAGGAGCTCCGTGTGCTCCTTACAAATGACAGCTGCCTCCTAACTTTTGAATTTGTCTCTAGTCTGGTCTTGGAGCTGGAAAAGTATCTGTACTTGTACTTATACCGAGTACGGTACTTGGTATCGGTGCATCCCTAGTATATACAGTGCATAATCAGAAGCCTGCTGTGAAAATTATTTCATGATAAATGAGCTGCAGAGAGACTGGTGACTCTTTTGACTGACCCTGTACCCCTTCCATTTCAAGAAGAACTATATAGTCTAATAGCCTTGGTTATTTTAACACAAATAACATCTTAGTCTGAGTCTTTAAAAAAGAAACGGCTGCTTTTATGCAAGTCAACCAGGCACACGTTCTCAGCCTGCATGTGCATGCGTGACTCGGCGTACAGAAAAAAACCCGTTGCTGACAGAAGTAAGAAGCTTTTATGGCAGAAGAGACTTATGCAGTCTGTTCTGCCATAGGAAACCAGCTTTTCTTGGAAGCTTTACTTCCACTTTAAGTAATTACAAAGTTGTGGCTAATTAAACAGTCCCATAGTGGAAATGCAAACATTGCTCTAGTTCGTATCGGTTATAATGGTATGTGAGTGGAAGTGATTCAAATGTAGCTTTTATTGCTTTATTAAAAGGGGAACTGGGATATTGTCACTGCTTGAATGATTTTGCATACAGTGGCCACCTTTCTCCTGTCCCACAGAGAATGGAGATCAGCAGGTAGAAAAAAAATTAGTTGCCCCATCCATATATTCTGCCACACTTATTTTCTTTGTTGTTTATAACTGTGAATCCACTTTTTGCTTTTAGTAACATTATTTTGTTTTTAATTTCAGTATATGGTGTTGGCTATGCTTGGTCTCCATCAAGACTGGATATATCTGTAGGAGACACTGTAGTCTGGAATTGGAATTCTCAGTCCTTGATCTTGGGTATTGGATATAGAGTATTTTCAGTGTCAGATGCGGGCAACATTACCTATGATGGTCGTACCTTCATCAGTGGGCCTCGAGTGCCATCAGGTTTGTATGCAGTTCATCCATCATTATAAGACAGTATGCGTTGTCTTTTTTACTTAATAGAAAATGTTTCTGATGCCAATAGCTGTGCTCAATTGCTGCAAAGCAAATCTGTATTTAAAAATTAGCTAGTATTCTTATAAATGTGCAGATTCTGGAATTTTGGAATACATTTTAATGGGCAAGGCTTGAAAAATCTACTCGTCCGCTTGTCTGTCTATAGAGGCGAGAGGATGGTGGAGCCCGATGAGCAGATTCCCGGCCGGCCTTTGTAATTACAAGGCCGGTCGGTAGCTTTACATTGAAGTGATCGGGCGTCTCTAGAGACGCCCGATCGCTTGTATTAGCAGCAGCTGTCACTGCCGTGCCGGTCCCGAGATCCGCTGTGCCCGATGCGGCCGGGACTGGCACGGCTCTGTGACAGGAGATCAAAGGGAGATCAGAATACGATCTCCCTTTGATCTTCTCTCAGTCCCAGAATGCAGGAAGTGATGTATATTACATCACTTCCTGCATTCAGTGTCACTCTCCAGCTACAGAAGCTGATGAAGCAGATCTCTGCTTCATCAGCTTCTCTGGGGGGTCCCTAGGTAACATTAGGGGTCTCGGAGACCCCTGATGTCTCCATAAAGAGGACCTGTCATGTAAATTGGCTATCACAAAGGGGTCTTCTTAGCCCCCCATGTAATAGCAATAAAGTTTTGTGCAAAAAAAAGAAAAGTAATACAAAAATTAAAGAATCATAAAAAAATGTAAAAAAAATGTAAGTCCCCGCCCCCACATACTCAGATACGGGTGCTCCTACGTGCGAAAGCGCCGATTGCGCCGATTGTGCCGCACATGTTACATATCGCCGCAAACGTCGGAGTGAGAGAAATATTTTTAGGGCCATTGATCACTGATAACACTAAACTTATGAGCAGTAAAAGCGCTTTAAGCGCGCCTATGGGCCTATGGGCGTTTTTTTGCGATTTTGCGGGAGCACGCACTTTTAAGGCTTGACATATTTGGTGTCTATTTACCCGACGTGATCCCGACTTTTATGTTTTACCAAAAATATGGGTAATAATAAATGTTTTATAACATAACGTAGTAAAACTGTTGTTTTTTTTTACATTTACGGTACTTTTTTCATTATATAGTACCCCCCCCCCCCCCCGAGGTGATTATATACCTCCAAAACAAAGCTTTATCTGTCCCCCAAAAATGTTAACATAAATTGCAAGCCTTTAGTCCGGTCATGCTGACTGGTGACATTTTTGACTGACTGGTGAGACACCATCAAATTTTTCAAGCCCTGTTAATGGGTACGGGTAGGCCAAGACAAAAATGAAACCTGCTTTGATTTTGGATTAACTGTTGGTATTGTTATTATGTGATAATAAAGAATTGAGTACATCTCTGCAGTACATTTCCCCATGTTTTATCCCTTTGCTGCAAGTACAGAAAAATACTTGCTGATCCAGCCAAAAATCAAGTGAACCCCTAACCTTCTGTTGTGAGCTCACAACATAGTGCTTCTTCGGCACTGAATGTCGGCCTTGTCTAAGTTCTCCTCTGCTTGACTACAGAAATTCACCAATCCAGCCCTTTATATTGGCTTCTTTCCCATGAGCTTAATGTTTAATGTAGGGAAAGAGCTCTTTGGAAATGAGATGATAAAACACTTTAAAACATTACTAGAATTTGAATGCCATCATAGTGGGAAATGCATATCGAAAATTCTGCATTTAGCATGTATTTGATGTTTTAACAGAGTTCTCTTTCTCTCAGGTGTCTTTTCCTACCAGTTCACATCTCCAGGAATCGTTTACTACAGCAGTGGTTACATTAATGATGGACAGTCATTATACATGCAGGGGGTGATCAACGTATCTCCACTCACAGATAACATCACTGCAGTACATGTGACAGTTGGAGGAATTAAGGCTAATTATGTACCAGGTAAGTGTTTTTTAGAACTAGACTAATTTTTTTTAATACTGTTGTACTTAAAATGCTAGAGATGTGCATACTAATGAATTAATAAAAAAGTGACCCAAAGGACCCCTTACAAGTTCACTATGTAACAAAGTAGCAGTTGGTCCCCCTATATGGAACACCGTGTTCCAAGGGAATGCTTATAGGCAGACGTTCCCTTCCCCTGTGACAGGAAGTACACTGACAAATGAGCCTTTGTACTGCAATTTGGGTTTGCAGGTGAAGGCCAGCCAACTTTGGATTCTGACTTGCACAAATCAGTTGCATCATTCTAGTTCATATAAGCTCGTGTTGCACGACCATTTTTCAACAAGGGGTGGCTCAGGAGATAATATTTATTTCTACATATTTCTTTACTGCCATAAATGAGGACCTGCCAGGAAGGGCACAAACATACTACACAGTGAAGTCCTATTAATTAGGAATCCTTTCGATCTGTTGCTCTATTTTTTTTTCCATTGCAATCATTACATTGGACTCAGCAGCACAGTGGCATAGTGGTTAGTACTCCTGCCTTGCAGCACTGGGGGTCCCCGTTTCAAATCCCAGCCAGGTCACTATCTGCAAGGAGTTTGCATGTTCTCCCTGTGCTTGTGTGGGTTTCCTCCGAGTACTCTGGTTTCCTCCCACACTCCAATGACATGCTGGTAGGTTAATTGGCTCCTGTCTAAATTGGTCCTGTATGCATGTGAGATAGGGATCTTAGATTGAAAGCTCCTTGAGGGCAGGGACTAATGTGAATGTGCAATTTGTAAAGCGCTGCATACATTGTCGGCTCTATATAAATACCTGTAATAAATAACTCTCAAAGTTAAAACACCAGGCTAAAGAACCTTTTTTTTTTTTTAAATGCGATTTTTTAAAATCTGATAAGATTTAAAAATTACAGTCACATGGATGAAAATAAAGATGTTTGCCCTTATGTGAAGCTTTGTGAATTGAGCCTATAGACATACAAGCAGACATTCAGATTTAACCTGTTTATTCTAGAGATACAATAAGTGTAAAAATATATTGCCTATGATCAGGCTGTGCATTGTTCTTTGTTCAACATACATTTGTGTGTTTCTGCAGCTTCCCTTTCATCTTCGCCAGCTGCTGACTGTGTCACTCCAGAACCTATTTGTCCACAGCTAGATGATAGCCCATCCCAAAACCTTTCCATCTGGTTCGGGTTCTCCAGCTGTTACTCACCTTTCATTACCAGCATTACACCGACCTTTGGAACAATTCATGACTCCATAACCATAGTGGGATCTGGCTTCAGCAATGTAACATGCGCTAACCAGGTAACTAGCTGATTGAGACCAATGTAGATAGATAGATAAATAGATAGAAAAGTCTGAATGTATGCAAACTTGCTGTGGTATATGTTGATATTTTACCTCTGGGTAGATGTTGGTGCCTAATCTCTCACCAACTTTTGATATATCTCAGATTTGTGTACTTGATTCTCCAAGTTATAGAACTCATGTAGGATGATGGTGTTACTGGAGTCACCACGAGTTGTAATAAAGCAGTGTCTCCAGGATCTCCCTGTTTATTTTTCAAGTGAAATTCCCTCTCTAGATGGATATTATAAAGCTTGGATTCTCATGTTGGGTGATACTATGCAAAACACAACACACTCAATGTTAGCAATCTCACAGAATAAAGTACATTATCTGCAACTTTCAGTCAATAATAGGCACAAGCAGAGAGATTTAGGCAACATTTTGCCAAGTGGAAAATCTTATTTCTCTTAAAAGAGAACTATGGGGTAAGTGTTTTTCCCCATAGGTCTCTTAAGGGTCACGGGAGGACATAAATCAGTGTCCTCCCATGACCCAAAGCTCAGTATATCCCGAGCTACAGCCTGTGGTATACTGAGACCGCTGCAGCCGGGATGGTTCCCGACAATACTGTCAAGATCCACCCAGCTGCGAGAATAACAGCTGGCTCTGCCTATCTAGAGGCAGAGCCAGCTGTGTCCGCCCCCTCCCCCATCTGTTCCTCCAGTCAGCGCTGGAGGATTGGAGCAGGGAGGGGGGGGAACCCCTGCGGGGAGCGGTGACTGACAGTCACTGCTCTCTGCAGGGAGATGATCGAGAAGTGAGTGAGCAACGGTATGTGTTCACTAATTTCTCGATCTATTGAACCGACGTGTGACAGTTTCATTGTCACAGGTTGGCTCAAACTATGAGGATGAGTGATTATTCACTCACCTCATAGTTCTCCTTTAAGTAAAATTCACTTAAAAAATGATTTGCTTTTTTTTCTTTGTTTAGAGGGCGTAGGTTTTTTTGAGGAGATGGGGTGTGAATTTAGCGTGGTATTTGTGTCTTACTCCTTTGTATATCTGATTGTTGTGTACTGTTGCTTTAAACTTTGCAGTTGACTTGTTTCACTGTTGTTTTCTTTCTGTGGCAAAATTATTTAAATAATTAGCCTAATGAGGAGCCATTTTTTGCCAAAAATAACAGGTCCAATATAGTTGAGAGGTACTTTTGTAACCCTCAAGAGCTGTATAAAAACCCATTGCACCCTAAACAAAACAACAACAAAAAAAACCTTCATTTTGCTGCCCCCCATTGACTCCATTGATTCTGTTTGCCAAAGTGGCAATATTTAGCCTAAGTCTCCCAATTTTTGCCAAGATTTTAGGAAAACTGAAAACGTTCCATTTTGCTAATCACTATTTAATGATGAGTAAAAGGTGCACTCTAGGCATTATACGCTCCAAGGTCCATACATCAATACCTGAAGTGTGCCAATGATTATTATATTACGCAAGGCAGATAGCACTGTATAATGATATAGTCCCACGGCTACATTTGAACCCCAGGATCTGTGGCTTTTTACATGGTAATTCCATTGGCAACATTAGCACTATTAGTAATAGAAAGACAAAAAAAGTAAACTGGTTCTCAAGGAGTTTTAAATGTAATTACCATCTTTACTGAAAACCTAATAATAAAATATACTTATGTCTATGTTTTTATTAGATTTTAGTTGGGAACTACCCGTGCAGAGCTCTATCCGCTAATGAAATGTCAATAACCTGCAAGATCGATCCTCAGGACTCCATGAATATTGGAATTGCAGAACTCGTATCTTTGACAGTAAACAACTATGGGAACGCTATCAATACTATAAGCCAAGAGATGAACAGGAGATTTGCATTGTTGCCTCACATTGAGTTCATCACACCGAGCAATGGCTCCGTTACCGGACTGACAAGAATAACAATAGTTGGGTCTGGCTTCTCAAACAACAACATCACCATAGCAGGCTTAGGCTGCAGTATCGTCTCTGTGAATTACACAGACATTATTTGTGATACCGAATCCAGTTATTCACGCACCGTAAATGTCCAGGTCACAGTCAATGCAATTACTGCACTGTGCAAAGGAAGCTGCAGCTTCACCTATTCCAGTGAAATCACAGTGGTTGCATCAAGCATTTCTCCAAATGTAGTAGGCAACACTTCGACCGTGTTGAACATTAGTGGCAGTGGATTTGGAGAAGACATTAATGACATAGTAGTTTATATTGGAGATGCAGCAGCTAGTGTGTTAGATGTCAATGGCACGGAAATTATATGCAGTGTTGATCCAATTCCTGCTGGTAACTATGTAGTCAACGTTATCGTCTTAAGCAAAGGCTTGGCCCAGGGCTCCTTCACTGTGAATAGTCCTGCTGAGGCTGTACTCTTGACAACATCGGGAAGTGTTCTAGGTGGAACAGTTTTGCAGATATCAGGGAATGGATTCCACCCATTCAATACTACAGTGCAAGTTGGTGGTGCAGCATGCTCTATTCTTTCAGTAACCCCTGGCAGTATCAAGTGTGTTACTCCCGCAAGCTCAGCGGCCAAGATTGCTAAAGTAAACATTCTCATACCATCTGCATCCTATCCATCACTCAGCTATTCCTATTCAGAAGCGGACACCCCTACAGTAACGTCAGTTTCTCCCAGCACAGGTATAATATTTTATATGCGGCACATAAAGCAGATATATATACACCCATTAGTGCAATTATTTAAAAATTTTATTTATATTTGTAAATGTAACTGGCATAGATATTTCAATATGAATTGGGTTCAGCCTCTTGAATTCCCTGTACACTTAGAATGGGGAAGGAAGGGGCAGGCAGTCGATTGTGTTGCAGTGCATATGAACTGGAAAGGAACATTCAGACTGGAGCAAAGAGCAGAATGAGCAGCAAGATGACTCACCACTGTGCTCCTCCTACTCCTTCAGTGCCCAGTCAAAGGCTGGAGCAAGGATGTGACCATGCTGAATTGCTCAACTACAGTAGAGAAAAGTCAGGGCTCTGTATATCTTAAGAAGTAGATATAGAAATTGGTTTACAGTTTTTAAAAAAAGCCTTAGGCTGGCCATATACATTATAGTTTGATTGTACAGTTTACTTTAGATTTACCAAAATTGTAACTTGAGGGCCTTTCTACAACAATACACTGCACTGAATTTGTATCTAAAAAGGTAAGCCCAAACACAATTGTTGGTAGATCTAAAAGAGAGTTTACAATCGTAGGTAGGGAGTATTACCAGCTTTAAACATGTTTTTAAATTACATTTCTGTATTTAAAGTGATCGTTTTTTTTCCCATTAAGAACAAAGTAACAGGTTCACTTTAATTCCCACATTTACCAGCAGCTTACCATGCCTTCACAGGCTAAGAATTCAGAACTGACAGTGCTGATTGGCCCAGTGAGATCACATGGGGTGAACCACATGCTCCTCCTCCTCCTCCATCAGGTTTTTAACTCTGTTTCCAGTGCTGAACTGGGTGGTGAGGAAGCGGAAGAAAGGCAAATTTATGCAGCTGTTGAGAGCGACATTAAAGAGATCCTGTTTTTTTTTTTTTAACCTTAAAGTGCAAAGCTTTAAAGATACATTCAAGAACATGTTCAAATATCAATTTTAATATAAATGCATTCATTGATGTATTTTTGTTTCCACCTGTAATTAAGCTTTAAAAGTTAAAATTTAATGGAGCAACTGATTACCCTTTGTTCTGATACAGAACTGTATCTGTTGTAAACTGCCTTGATTAATAAAGCCTTACCCATAACTATATACAGTATATTTAAATATATATAGTAACCTATGCAAATATCTTTCTATGTCTTATTTACTACCAGGACCATCAGGAACTTCCATTACTGTTTTCGGTACACAGTTTGGTTCTGATGCCACAAATGTTGCAGTGACTATAGGCAATGCCACATGCGCCATCACTGCCATGTCAGATACATCACTGAACTGCACAGTGGCAAACCACTGGGGAGGCACATTCCCACTATCACTACACAATGAGAAAGGCTTTGCAAGATCCAGCGCAACATTTACATATGAACTGAGTATGACAAGCATCTCTCCTAATGAAGGTGAGTGCCATGAGCACTAACAGGCAGCTAATGATTTGGGGAATCCTAGGGATGCTGAGGTCAGGTTTTTATTTTTAAGTGCTATTTTTAAGTCAATGTCCACCCTTTGAGACCACATGGATAGTGGTACTTCCCAATGACTTGTCTACTTCGATCCTAAGTCTTTGCAGCAGCATGCTGATACTTTCTGTGACTGTATCTATCCACCTTATTGCTGTTTGCCCTCTTCTTTTTTTCCCTTCAATTTTTCCAAGCATAACTTTCTTTTCCAGTCAGTTGGTTCTTCTCATAATATGTCCAGGCAGTTTAAGCCTAGTCATCGGGCTTCTAGGGAAAAGTTGGGTCTTATTTGTTAAAGGATCCATTTGTTTTCCTAGCCGTCTATGGTATTCGTAGAACTCTTTACCAACTCAGTTCAAAGGTCTTGTCTAAGGGCCTATTCACACTATTATATTGTGGTAACATGCACATAAACATGCGTGTTACCACAACATCTGTTAAATGCATTGGTGCAGTGCCATTCATTCTAAATGGCATGCAAAAGAACCTTACCGACAGAAAGCCTTGCAATACAATGCACGGCAACGTACTGATTTGCATTGAGGTACACTGCCAGAATGGGTACAGACACCTCTTTTGGTGTGTTTTGGTGCGTTAAGCAGCGCATTCAAATGAAAAGTCTGTTTTAATGCAACGTACGCTAAGACACAGCATTACACACTTTAAGGAAACCACGATAGTGTAAATGAGCCCTAATTCCATTGGTGATCGGCTAATGGTACAACTAGAGGTCTAGAGCTATAGGTAATAGGCAGACAATTACATTATTAATCAAACAAGTTCTAGAGATGGAAAATAAAATGAAAATACTTGGACTGGTCTGACACTAAGACTGTAGATGAATGCATGCTTATCGCCAAGACACAATTGTTTTATATGTGCCTTGTTAACACCACAATGCTGCCTTGAAGTGGAACACCTTTATCTGCAACGCACTGGAGCTCACCATAACCATCCATCAGCACACCGCAGCATTGCTGAATAAAATGTAATTAAATAAAATGTCACTCAAGTTAAAAAAAATAAGGAAACAGTGTCTTATGTAATAACAATGTGAGGCACCGCCCCTTACCACCCATAAACTACGGATACTAACCTGCATGCTAAAATGGCTCGAAAGGAAGAACAGTCAATTAAATGCTTTATTTTCATGTCTTTTTTTATTTCCCCTGACATACACTTTAAATAACAAAGCTTAAAAATTGTTACTAAAAGTATATATTTTTTCAATGAAATGAATATGTAGTTAATGATTTATTTCTTTATGATGTTTAGGAAGCTTTGGTGGTGGATTGATGCTCACCATTGCTGGCTCTGGGTTTGATGAGACGCTATCCAAGGTGCTGGTCTGCAACTCTGACTGCAAAATAGATGGAGAGAGATCCAATGCAAGCGTCCTCCTCTGTGAAGTACCTATGAGGAATGGTAAGTGACTGAACTACCCATCACGTTCACTCACTTGTTATCTCTCGTCTTGACCGACCTCTTTGGCCGACCTCTTCACAGGCTATTCCCACTTCAGTCTATCATGAATGCAGCTGCTAAACTCATTCACTTAACCAACCGTTCAGTGTCTGCAACCCCCCTCTGCAGATCACTTCCAATAGCCACTGGCTTCCAATAGCCCAAATGATAACATTAAAAATATTAACAATCACTTACAAAGCCGTCCACAACTCTGCCCCAGCTATATCTCAAATCTGGTCTCAAAGTATCACCCTAACCGTCCCCTCCGCTCTTCCAAAGACCTCATGCTTTCCAGCTCCCACGTCAACTCCTCCCATGCTCGCCTCCAGGACTTCACTAGAGTCTCTGCCATCTTCAGGGATGCCTATCCGACCTCAACCTAACCACTCAACCATCACATTCTCAAACAATTCATCCCCCACATAGCTACCTCCTTATGTATCACTTGCCCCTCCCTTTTAGATTGTAAGCCCTCATGGGCAGGGCCCTCCTTACCATCTTGTCTTGAATTGTATTGTGATTGTAATGTCTTCCTTATATTGTAAAGCGCTGCGCAAACTGTTGGTGCTGTGTAAATTCTGTATAATAATACCAGCCAGATGAACCCAAAAACATACAACTGTAATGTAAAAAAATGTAGAAGGGCACAGAAAATGTAACATGTTATTCAGTCTTATAGATATTATACCATAATTCATAAAACGCTTAATGGATATATTTATTTGTGCAACTACATTTCTCAATATTTCTCATATCTCAAAAGATAAGGACATGAATCTATTAATAAAATAAAATAAAAATAATAATTATTAGAATAATAATTTGAAAAATAATTCTTATACCTACAGATTGACTCATACCAATTACAATGGGCATATATGACAAAGGTTAGGAGTGCCAAATAAAATGTGAAGAAGCAAACATCCAACAAGAATCCATTTATTTATTTAGTTGCAATTGTAAACCAAGAATCCAGCACATTTCAGGAGTAAAACTCACTTCTTCTTCAGGTTTATAAATCATATGAAGCATAAGTAAAATAATTAGTAAAAAGAAATCCAAAATTATCTCAATGTGTAAATATATCATTTACAAAATAACAATTAATAAAAAAAATGTAACCATTTAAAAAGAAAAGAAAAACGTAAAACAACATCATTTGAAGCAAATTGATACATAATCATTTAAAAAGAGAAATATTTATATTATTATAAAGAATATGTAACTAAGCATCATTGTAATAACATTCACATCTAGATTATTTCCCAGGAAGTGCAGTCACTAAACAATATACAGATAAGAAGATAATAAACCACATGAGATTACCACTGCGGACTTCAATGAACTAGATACCACTAGACTTGTTCATTCAACCAAACAGTTCTATCCTTGTCTGACAATTGCCTTTCATACAAAATTTTTTAGGACAGATTCCTCACAAGTATAAAGAATATGTAAACCCTAATAACAAAGTCTCCTAATTGCTCACTTTTGGACTTTTAAAAAGAAACTCCAGAAAACTAAAACGTTAGGTCCGCACTGCAAGGGGGTAGCTGCTCATTTTGAAGCCCAGCAATAAGCTATTGAAGTGTGATCTGCACCTAAATAAATTATTATTTAGGGTGGAAAGGTGATACTAGGGTTCTTTTGGACCCCCAGTATCACCTTGAAGAGTGCCTGTCACCATCAATATCCTATCACATGGGGGATTGTAAGCCCCCCTATGTGATAGCAATTAAAGTAAAGTTTAAAAAAAAACAGTTTTAAAAATAATATTAAATAAAATAAATGTAAAAAATAATAATACATTTTTTTAAAGACCCTGCGAGCATGCGTGTCTTTACATAAACACGTTTTGGGTGCGCCTACGTACACAAACGCAGATTGCGCTACACATGTTGGGTATCACTGCACAATAATTCCAGAGCCAATATTTATGCGTATCTCAAAACTGATGACCTGTGGGGGCTTTTTGGGGTACTGAATTTTCACGGACACACACAATTTTTAACCTGGACATGTTGGGTATCGATTTACTCGTTGTAACCTCATCTTTTATATTTTTTACAAAAATTGGTATTTTATTGTGTTTTGGGGGTGCTGAATTTAACTTTAGTGCATTTTTTACAAGATTTTTGGGTTTGATAATAGGTTGTGCTAATGTCGTGCAACAAAAAAATTTGCAACTGTCAGCATTTTATTCAATAGGGTCTTGGCTTTCAGAAAATATATAAATGTTTGAGGGTTTTAAGTAATTTTCAGGCCAAAAATGTGGATTGTAAACAAAAAATGGAAAAAAGGCCTTGGTACTTATTAATCAATAGAGTGAGGGCTTTATCATATGTACACTGATATGGTGATAAATTACACGCGCATGTGGCGAAAAATAAGTTCACTCTCTATGTCTTCTTGCCAGATACAAACATTTCTTCTCAGATCTGTAATGTCGTGGTCATTAACGGAAACAATGCTGTCTGGATCAACAACTCCTTTAACTACACTACTGCACTAACCCCATTCATATACGATGTCACCCCTAAGAGAGGAGGCACCGCTGGGGGTACCAGACTCACCATCACTGGATCTAAGTTTGGGTATTGATTATAATCCTAATGCTTTTCTATTGGCCAGCCAGTCTGTCAGATGTTACAAACTGTATATGTAATAATAAATAGAACACAAAAAAAATATAATAAAAAAAACAAGGCTTATAAATTTAGCTTAGTATTACAATGAAACTGGTATATCATCATCCACAAATGATTTACCTAACAAAAACAGTTTGCTTAAACTAAACTCCAGGCAGATATAACAGACTTAAATGCAGCTCTGTATTAAGTAATAAACCATTAACTATATTTCTCTTAAATGCATGCAGTGTAAGTACCTGATTTTAGCTTGGTATCAGTCTTTTGTATTCCCCTCTACAGCAGAGCTCAGATTGGGAGGGCGAGCAGCATTATAAGAAGCCTATTAGTTCTGACAAGCAGCATGGTAATAGTAGGGGAATTAAAGTGACAAAGAGATGAGCTTATCACTTTGCAGCCCCTCTCCAGTTGCATTGCAGCCTATGCTCAGGGTAAGTGAGTTGAATGATGCTAGTTGTCATATGTCAGATTAGAAGGCTGAGGACTAGTGGCAGAATTGAGGTACTGCGGGGCAGTTTTGGAACAAAGGGGAATTTTGCATCCTGTTCTAGCAGAGAGCCAGACCCTTACTCTTTCACAGAGCACAGCGGTTTGGGCCGTCAGCGGTATGACAATGTTTACTGCTCCAATCAGCAATGAGGTTCGTGGGAGCATGATCGTAAGATATAATCTTTGATCCAGTGGCATATAGAAAGTTTTAAAGTAACACTAAACTCAGGAGTTAAATTTAAAGAATGCATTCAAGTACTTTACTTACTACCTTAAAGGAGAATTATGAGGTGAGTGATTTTCACTCAGCCTCATAATCTGAGCCGACCTGTGACAATGAAACTGTCACAGATCGGCTCAGTAAATCGGGAAGTGAGCGAACACATAACGGCGCTCGCTTACTTCTCGATCTATCCGTGCAGAGAGCCGTGACTCTCACTCACGGCTCCCTGCAGGGATTCCCCCCTCCCCTGTCCGATCCTCCAGCGCTAACTGGCGGAACGGATGGGGGAGGGGGTGGGTACAGCTGGCTCTGCCTCTAGATAGGCAGAGCCAGCTATCACTCACGCAGCTGGGTGGATCCAGGCAGAATTGTCGGGATCCATTCCGGCTGCGGCATCTCAGTATACCGCGAGCTGTAGCTCGCGGTATACTGAGCCTTGGGTGACGGGAGGACGCTAGTTTGTGTCCTCCCGTTACCCTTAGGAGAACTATGGGGAAAAGCACTGACCCCATAGTTCTCCTTTAAGTATTAACACCAATGTTGACATCACCATCATGGGAGTGAACTGGGAGTGAACGTGGCTACTTTACAAAACACAGGGACCATGGGGAACAAAAGTATCCACCCTCCAGAAGGAAAGACAGTGTCAGCACCAATTCAGAGATTATTTGAGGATCTACAGCCGAGTGATACACAAATAAGATACATTTTTATTAATAGTTAAGCTACTTGAATGCATCTTTAAGATTTATTTCCTGAGTTGAGTGTTACTTTAATGTAAAGAAAACATTTTCCTACATCCCCTATCTTCCCCTATCATCCACTACCCCTTATATGTCCTGCGTTATGGTAGAAGATACATAGAAGATACACGACCTGCAGTCAAGATCAGGTTAGCATTAGTCCAAAAGAAATCTTGTCTGTCTAAACAGAAACTCCGGGAGTTGACAGATTCCCTTTGGGAAACTGAGGACATTGCAAAGGGAAGAACATAGAAACACAGGAAAACAAAGTAATTAAACAATATTAGGAAGTGGAAGAATGACAATTCATCCCCACACAGCTACTTCCTCATGTATCACTGGCCCTTCCCCGTTAGATTGTAAGCCCTCAGGGGCAGGGCCCTTCTTACCACCTTGTCTTGAATTGTATTGTGATTGTAATATCTTCCTAATATTGTAAAGCCCTGCACAAACTGTTGGCTCTATATACATCCTGTATAATAATAATAATAATAATAATAATAATATTAATAATTTGTTATAGATAAAATATGTTACCTTACATTAAATATTTTATCTTTCCCTCACATCCCCCAAAATTGTCACCATACATTAATTGGAAATGTCTAGTGATCAACATATTTCATTAAAGGGAACTGTCTTGTAATCAACATAATTAATTAAATGGACATGTCTAGTGATCAAAATATGATATTAAACAAAATAAAATATGTTTTTTTTCCTTTGTAGCAATGATGCCTCACAGATCACTGTCACGATCGCACAAGCCCAGTGCAATGTTACATCAGTTAATGACACACAGATCGTTTGCATTACCACAGCCCAATCCCCTTCACAAAAGGCAAAGGTCCGGGTGAACATCAAAGGCCAAGGAGTAGCTAAAATGGTAAGATTTGTTTTACATTACCAATACCATCTGACATTCTTATTATTAACACCTGCCATCCCAGAAATGCTTCATAGGACATAACACACCTATAGATTATAGTCTCAATTTTAAATATTCAATTTATCATGAAAGTTCCTATGCGTGTAATGTGGAGGAAAGGGGATCATGGACACAAGCCATAAACATGGCAGTGGATGATGTCCTAGTACCCAGTTGATAGGCAATTGAATCTGGATTATTGTTATCATTGAGTCTGGTGTTACCCAATGCAGTGTAACATGCCTCTTCATACACCAGTAAAGAAGAAAGGTGGCAGCTCATTAGTTTAATGCACACAGATTGTGTGATCCACAGCACCATACATGGTAAACCTTAATTTTCTGGTGAAAATAAAAACATATATGTAACTTACTTCCATGGGCAACAATGCTATGGTTCCAATATACTAGTGCTTGAAAAAAGAAAAGCAATTTCAGTATTTATAGTAGTGGTGGCCATTTCACTTAATATATCAGGGCCTCAAGTCTAGCCCCTGACATCGCCAAAAAAGACAAACCATATTAAGTTTATGTAATTCTACAAAAAATGTTCAGAGACTAGATATACCGTAGTGTAATATGTGCAGTCTGCCCGCATTAGATGAGCCCGTATGCCTGCAGTAGATTAGCAGAGAATGCGGCTGGAAATGCTAAAGCAAATTACCAAAGTCTGCATACATGCTACAGGCAGACTTTAGTGACTAGAGACATACTCTATGAGTTAAAACATGTTACAAAAGATTGTTAGAAATCACTGCCATTACAGTTAATGCTCCCTACATTGTTTGGCCCTATCGGTACCACTCCGTTTGACAAAAATTGATTTTTCAAGTCGAAGAATTCAGTAAAAAAATTATTGAGTGAACAGTGACCTGCAGTCAGTAAATGAGTATTCCGACAGTGGAACACATGTTGCTGTCAAAATAAAATAGCCCAGCGTGAAGGGATCCCTCCATCCATGCTAAACAAGGGAAATTGAGCAATTTTTCTTGTGAAGCCTGTGGAACTGTACAAGAAAAGACAGTTAGTGTATACCCAGCTTGACTCTTCCCCAAGCTGTCCAAAAATAAGAATGTTTTGACTGGGAAAGATAGATAGATAGATAGAAAGATCAGACTTAAAAGAGGGATAATTGTCTAAAACAAGGGAACAGAGGGATTTGGTTGTTAAAGGGAGACAATAGAGAGCTAGGTAGTCTATAATATAGTCTATTCCGCACCTCTAATTTTACATTTTGGATTTGTAGGTTCCTTTCTTTATAAAATAGAGTTTACATACCTCCTGTGTAATATGATTTCCTTGTTTGTCTATTTTAGGACAATGCCGACTTTTTCTACATCGATGTTTGGTCTTCTAAATACACCTGGGGAGGTGAAACGCCCCCGGATGAAGGTTCACTAGCTGTCATCACTCAAGGACAGACTATCCTTCTGGATCAAAGCACTCCAGTGCTGAAGATGCTTTTGATTCAAGGTAAGGTCAAGCCAGTATTCCAATTTACACCATTCTTTTTATGAAGCGCTGGCAGACTTCTAGTTGTTGGTATGGGCATAGTGGACATAATGGGCATTAGAGCGTCATTTCACCCCATTTGTCAAGGTACTGTATTCTAAACATGCTTTGACAGCAGCTAGCAGGTTATGTATAGACAATCTGCCTGTAGATCAGAGTAGGATGCTAGGGAAATTTAGTGGAGTCCTGTAGCTGCCATCCCATCTTTGATAGGCTACTTTTCATTAATACTGTATGAGCCATTGCCTCACAAAATTTCTATCTCTGTTCAGTTTATTATGACGCTCAGCTTCATTTACCAAAGTGTCTTGCATAAGAACTTATCTATTACCAATCAGATCAAATTTTTACACATTGTGCTATTTTCACATGTTTTCTAAATCTAATTGGTTGTTTGTGGGGAAATGCAGGCAGCCTCTATGTGATCACCTTTAACTTACTTTTATGCCTTGATTTTTATGGTCAATATGTGGATTTAGCTGTGACATATTGGGTGTCAGGGCTTCATATGTTCCAGCTTAGTTTGAAATGCTGGGTATTACAGTAATGTAGCCTGACATCTGATTGCTATGGTTGCTTGTGTAGCATTTTATTAAACGGTTTATTAAAATTTGAATGTGCGTTCTGCTTTGTAAGTAGAAGATGTAAGAGTTTCATATGCATACCTTTTCTTTAACACCAGGAGGAACTCTGATATTTGATGAAGCTGACATTGAGCTCCAGGCTGAGAATATTCTTATTACAGATGGTGGTCTTCTGCAGGTATGGCAGACCACAACGGTACTACATTATAAGAAGATCCATGGACTGAAACAGAATTGATTTTAATGGGTTTTGTTTGTTTTGTGTTTAGATTGGAACTGAGGCTGCCCCATTCCAGCACAAAGCTATCATCACTCTGCATGGACACTTGCGTTCCCCAGAGCTACCTGTTTATGGAGCAAAAACATTGGCAGTCAGGCAAGGAACTTTGGATCTTCATGGTAAGTCAGATTTTACTTATTTAAATAGATCCCACCAATGTAATTAGTTTTTTTTTTACAGAATTCCAGTATCAATGTGATATCAAATAAACATATCTTGATGTAATTACTGTATGTAATATACTGTAATTTTTTAAAATAAAAACATGTTTATTCATAGGGCAGTGATTATGTATTTTAATATACAAAAAAACAGCAAAGGCCAACCCAGAATCCTGTTGATGTTTTCTAGGTATTCCAGTGCCGGTGACTTGGACCCGGCTAGCTCAGACTGTGGAGGCTGGAAGCTCTACTTTGGTTCTACAGCAAAGTGTGACTTGGAAAGCAGGGGATGAAATTGTGATTGCATCAACCGGACACAGGTAAATGCTACTTTATGCTAAACCAGCCACAGCACACACCAACAGAGATTTACAGGTGACATGCAGTATACCTCTGTGCAGTAGATGTTTTGCACCAGATAATAGAGATTGTAGGACTGAATCTCTGAATAATTCTTAAACAATCGAAACAGGATTCTCTGCAATATTGAACCTGTAAACAAAGTGACAGTTGGGTTGATAGGTCAGATGACATCCCAATAACATTGTCAGAAAACTGTGCCACCATTCCATGTTCTGAGTGCACAAAAATAACAATAGATTTGTGTCCCCTGCAACACTCAATGATTCCTCATATCATACTCCACATCACTATTGTGTCCTGTAGTGACATAAGGGTTGGCAAGATGAACAAATGAGCTCTGAGGGGAACACAGGAGACCAGTACTTCTGGAAGTGTTGATTTTTGCACAGACGTGAGCCTGCAATCCCTCTTTTTGCATTATATGGCAGCATGACAGACAGGAGGGATACATATTTACTTTATTCCTAACAGGGGCAGTTTTTATTTAATATTTCAATTTGTTGACAGGGCCACTTTATTCCATATTAACAAGCCAGGCTCTTTGTCTTTTCCTGAATGGTAAACATGGAAATATTTATTAATTTTCGGTTTATAAATAGTGCAACACTAAATCTTTTTCCAGGTCTTTGCACTCCAAACCTATAGGGGTATATTCATAAGCGTTTCACACAGCGAACAACTATGTGAAAAGGATTTGTAGTGCATTACGGTAACTAGATAAAGCCAAAAAGCATCAGAACTCCTATGTTCCTCAGCTCCATCTAGTGGCCATAATGTGTTCTGAATCTTATTTGCATAGCTGTTTGCTGTGTGAACGGGTTATAAATCAACCCCTCAGTGTTACAGGAACTAGTGAAATATTATTCTACATAATAATACTCGTGTCAATGTTAGTACATTAGCTGTGACGAGCAGTTCCCTCCTAACACTCCTATATTGACTTGTATTGTAACTGTACCGTCTCCCTATTTTGTGAAGTGCTGCACAAACTGTTGACACTATGTAAATAATAATAATATTATTAATAATAATAAATAATAATATGAGACCCCTACCAGGAAAAAAATTATTAAATGTCAGGCCTTGATAAAGCAATCCCTGCCCTTTCACCTGGGTGAGGCAATGTTTTTGTTCCCCCATGTGGTCTGTTAACATTGTGGTATTTGTTTGGATGGCACTCTAGAGAAATAATTTTTAACTAAAACTAGTGGTACCCCGTGTTTCCCCGAAAATAAGACACTGTCTTATATTTTTTGTGACTCAAAAAAACACTCTAGGTCTTATTTTCGGGGTAGGTCTTATTTTTTTTTTTTAATGTATAACAATCCAAAGTTATTGCAAATCCAAATTAAATCATCCAAAATTGCAAAGTTAAGAATAGGATGATCAGGGCAATCAGGGGTGCCATAGCTTTCCAAGAGCAATTTGGTAACCAGAATGAGCGAAGCGCACTTTGACTATGGATTCCTCACAGGCAGAGTGCATTTGGTATCACTCCGCCTGTGACAGGAGTCGGTGCTATAGAGGAAACATCGGCTTATGCGGCTCTGCTCCTTTCGCTGCCGCCTTGCTTCCTCTAGTGCTGGCTTCGTTGGCACCGCTGATTCTCTCCCGCAGCTCTTCAAGTTCCCCCTTATGCCACCACCGGCCCTGGAAATGGTCACAACTAGGTCTTATTTTGAGGGTAGGTCTTATATTTTAGCAATTCCCAAAAATAGTACTAGGTCTTAATTTCAGGGTAGGTCTTATTTTCGGGGAAACAGGGTATGTTATGGAGCTTTTATTGCTATTGACACTTCTCATCTATGATCACAAATCAGATGAAATATTAAAGAAGCATTTTTCTATATGCAAATTAAGTCATTTCTGCAGGTCTATGTAGATTGTAATTTATAAAGTAATTTGTGCAGCATTTATAAATCACTGAAATGATCGTTTTCTGGTATTATTTTCCTAATAGGCACAGTCAAAACCAGAATGAGAAGAGAACTATACAATCTGTGTCTGCTGATGGCAAAAACCTGACTCTAAGTGAGCCACTGGTGTACAAGCACTTAGGCATATCAGTCACCTTGCCCGATGGAACGGTTTTTGAAGCTAGAGCTGAAGTTGGCCTTCTTACAAGAAACATTCTGGTCAGAGGTTCCACCAATGTGGAATGGAGTGACAAAATAGCAGCCTGTCCAGATGGATTTGATACAGGTAATTTACTGTTTTCTGTTGCATTAGCTTCAGTCTTCTTGATCTCTTAAAGGAGAACTATGGGGTTAAGGCTTTTCCCCATAGTTCTCCTTAGGGTAACGGGAGGACACAAACTAGCGGCCTCCCATCACCCTAGGCTCAGTATACCGCGAGCTGTAGCTCGCGGTATACTGAGATGCCGCAGCTGAAGCGGATCCCGACAATTGTGCCGGGATTCGCCCAGCTGCGTGACTGACAGCTGGCTCTGCCTATCTAGAGGCAGAGTCAGCTGTACCCGCCCCCTCCCGTCTGTTCTGCCAGTCAGCGCTGGCGGATCGGAGCGGGGAGGGGGGAATCCACATACCGGCGTTTGCTCACCTCTCGATCCTGTCACGGCTCTCTGCCGTGACAGGATCGAGAGGTGAGCGAACGCCGGTATGTGTTCGCTCACCTCCCGATCTACTGAGCCGACCTGTGACAGTCTCATTGTCACAGGTCGGCTAGAACTACTCACCTCATAGTTCTCCTTTAATGCATTGTCCAAATCTGATTTTTAGATGAATCCTCAAGTGTTATAAGTATATAATGAATCTCCGGAGTTAGAGTATTTCATGTTGTGCAGACAGAAGTGGATTTCTATCCACCTGTCTGAAAGAAATACAGAGGCTTCCATTATTGGCCTGCTTTTGATTATGTGCGTGTCCTCGATGTGTGGCATCCATACTTCAGGAGATGTATGCAGAAAATCAAAGTTAGAGAAAAGTGGTTGCCATGCAACTAGAATTGTCAGATGCAGAGTCCTGCAGTTAAAACTCACATGATTTTGTAATAACTGAATTCCTTTAACCCCTTTCAACGTGTAATCTGTATGTCAACTATGTCCAGTGGTGAGGAACTATTCATAAACTTCCTCACCTTAAAGAAGAATTCCAGGAATTAACAAAGTTAACACCTTGCTGTGGGGCTACCTCTGCACTGCAAGGGTTAACTGCTTGTTTTTCTCTATGGGCTGGAATACAGACACTATGCTCACATGATCCTTGGTCCTGCGGTGGTCAGAACTCTCTCTCCCCTTCCTCTCCAGCTGTGGTATGTCCCTCGGCGTCCTCACATCTATTGCAGGTGAATGAACCTGCATTAGACTTGATGACGTCACAGGTGCTTTGACCACCGGAGTCCGGGGAAGAAGAGGTTGCGGGGACTAGTCTATCAAGCCAGGTGGGATTGAGGATCAGGAGAGTATATTTTATTTTATTCTGTCCTTAGACCAAAATGAACAATTTAACCTTGCAGTGCAGTGGTAGCCCCACGGCATGGGTTAACCTTTTTAATTCTTGGAGTTTATCTTTAGGTGTCATTAGCCAACACTTGAATGGCTGGTGGTTCTCAGTTCAAGTTGTCACTTACAGCTCCAGTCCCCACTGATAATCGGAAACCAATCAGAGCAGTTCCCAATTATGAAATTAGTATATCAACTATAATACATGCAGGCTGCAGATAAAGAATGCTACCAATAGGCTGCAGTGGAAAATGGTAGTGCCATCTATTTAATAGTGTTTTTGATCAGATACAATTAGATCAATGTCAAAAAAATGTGCTTACATTTTTGTATGTTAATGAGTCAGAGCAGGGTTGTCTCCAAAACAGTGTACCAAATAAAAACCTTATATGCCCTGTAAAAACATAAAACTTATTAAAATAGGTCAATTGTTTATAGGGTTATTGACAAGTTAACCAAGAAATGCTGACAATGCTAAATTTGCCGTATTGCTCTTTACACTGACTAGTAGAATACACCTGATATTATGTCCATGTCATGTCTTCTTGCTCCAGGCGAATTTGCAACACAAACATGTTTCCAGGGAAGGTTTGGAGAAGAAATAGGAAGTGATCAGTTTGGTGGATGTATAATGTTTCATGCCACAAAGCCCGGCCAGCTGCTCTCCATTGGAAGAATAGAATATGTAGAGGTACCTGTTATGTTCTTGATTTAATGTTTGCTGAAAAAGAAGTCTGCTTTCTGTTTGTTGATTGCCTGATCGGTCACAGCTTTTCCAACAAACTTTCACTGCATTGGAGGAATTATTTTTATCATAAGGAAAAAATGTGATATATTGTATATTCAAAAATGCAGCTGGAGGTTGGAGAATCCATGCTAGATGATGACCTATGGCTTTGGTAGGGATATTAGAAGGCAGTTTATGATTCATCATACCATCACACCCATGTTTTCTACATTTTGGATAGCATAGAAAGGGTTTTAATCACTGTCAGTGTTTAATTGGTGTTTGTGATGTTTGTCAATAAGACAGAAATTGGAGGGAAATCCAAAATCTCAAAATGTTAATGGGACAGGTATGGAGGGGATATTTTACAAAGGTGTTCATTCTCTTCTTTTTGGAGAAATTATATAAAAAAAGGTAGAAATTTCATGAGGGGTTTTAGGTGTTGATTGGAGAAATTACCATTGCCTTGTTGTCATGTCTCTGGGAGAGAAAGTGCAGAGAAATCTGCCCAGTAGTAATACAGGGAGCACAAAGCTAGAAAAAGGTTATAACCCTTGTATGCTATTATGAGTCTGGCTTTTAATAGCAGTATTGACTGTACTGACATGATCAGTAGAATACATTTTATAGAACAGAAACAAAACATCGTAAATCTATCTTTTTCAGGTTTTCCATGCAGGTCAAGCTTTCCGGTTGGGACGTTATCCTATTCACTGGCATTTAATGGGTGATATGCAGTATAAGTCATACGTACGAGGCTGTGGGATCCACCAGACCTACAACAGAGCAGTAACTATCCACAACACTCACCATCTTCTTGTAGAGAAGAACGTAATTTATGACATCATGGGAGGAGCCTTCTTCATCGAAGATGGCATAGAACATGGCAATGTGCTTCAATACAACCTGGCAGTATTTGTACGGCAAAGTACCAGTCTACTGAACGATGATGTTACCCCAGCAGCCTTTTGGGTAACAAATCCTAATAACACCATCAGGCACAATGCAGCTGCTGGTGGCACACATTTTGGTTTTTGGTACAGAATGCACGACAACCCTGATGGACCATCCTACGACCCGAACATTTGCCAGAAACGAGTGCCACTTGGTGAATTCTACAATAACACTGTCCATTCCCAGGGGTGGTTTGGCATCTGGATATTTGAAGAATACTTCCCCATGGTAAAAGGATCTTGCAGTTCTTCTACACCATCCCCTGCTATTTTCAAATCGTTGACCACATGGAATTGCCAGAAAGGAGCTGAATGGGTAAATGGAGGTGCTCTTCAGTTCCATAACTTTACCATGGTAAATAATGAAGATTCTGGCATAGAAACCAAAAGAGTAATTTCATCTTACGTTGGTGGATGGGGTGAGACCAGTGGAGCTGTCCTTAAGAATGCCATTATTGTTGGCCATCTTGATGAACTGGGGCTTGGCTCTAGTTATTGCACAGCTAGGGGCATTACTCTACCATTCGATGAAGGACTGACAGTATCATCAGTCAAGTTTATGAATTTTGACCGACCAAACTGTGCAGCTATTGCAGTGACAACAGTTGTTGGACTATGCGGTGACAGGTGTGGAGGATGGAGTGCAAAGTTTAATGGAATACAATACTTTAATGCACCAAACAAAGCTGGATTCCGTTGGGAACATGAAGTTGTTTTAATTGATATGGATGGGACTCTAACAGGTAAAAATATTTACATTTTTTTTTTTAAATTGGGTTAGTATTAATGATTATTATCAAGATCCACAGTCAGAGCCAAGAAGGTGGTCTAACAACCAACAAAAAACCCTACAATTCCTGTATAACACACTATATAGCCAAAAGTAGACTCACATCCACATTTTTGAGTCCAGACACTTTACATCATTTACCATGTCAAACCTTGTGGCCGCAGTTTGAGAAAGGCCATTTTCTTTTGCAGCATTCCTGTGACCCTGTGCACAAAGCCAGCTCCATAAAGGCATATTTTGGGAACTTCAGTGTGGAGGGCTAGCACCAGTTTTTTTTCATCCAACACCTTGCATTTTGGAATTTTTTTTTGGCTGAACAGGCACAC